AAATGTACTTTTGAATTTTGAATATTTTATTCGTTTTGACAGTGACAAAACTGACGTTTTCTTCAAGATTTTGACAACCGGTCGACAGTATTAAACACTGCTTTCTTTGTTGAATTTGTTTTCATAAATCGGAGGATTTTACTCAAAAAGTTTCTGACCTAATTTTTCCTAAGTAAAGTTGGTGGATCGGTACTGAGCAAGTATATATGTGTGTATACGTATATTAGGTCTGTATGTATGTATGTATGTATGTATGTATGTATGTATGTATGTATGTATGTATGTATGTATGTATGTATGTATGTATGCATGTATGCGTGTATGCGTGTATGCGTATATTATGTGCGGTTGTATGCTGCTTTCGTATATGTGATTATATGTTTGTTTGTATGTATGTTTGTTGTATATATGTTATGTATGTATGCATACCTGTACGTGTTAACTTCAAATTTGTACGATTATACGTGTGCTGATATTTGTTGGTTCACAATGGTTTTATTGATTTAATATAGTCTCCCATAACCTAACTGGTGGTTTCTGTACTATTACCCTTTGTACAAAACGCATGCATTTTATGACAATGTACAGAAAGTGAGACTCAAATAAACATTATCTCTCTCTATATACGTACAAGGACTTATATTGTATACCTGTAAAACACAAAGATGTATGGATATTATGAAGGGAAGTTTCACACTTTCTGCACTTATCACCTGATAGTTGATGTAACGAAAGCGAGCTCATTCTAAACAACAGCCGTGGCTGATTCGACGGGTTATTATCTGGTAGGTACACTTCGCTAATTGTATCCATGGTTGCATATTAGATGAAACTGAATCATTTACACACAATGAAGAAACTAGTCTGTTCTTTCATGATCCGCTTTGAAAACAGTAAAGTATTTGTTCACGTTGTGTTTTCTCAATGGGGGCGGTGGGGTAGCCTAGTGGTTAAAGCGTTGGTTCGTCACGCCGAAGACCCTTGTTCGAATCCCCACATGGGTACAATGTGTGAAGCCCATTTCTGGTGTCCCCCGCCGTGATGTTGCTGGAATATTGCTAAAAGCGGCGTAAAACCAAACTCAGTCAGTCAGTCAGTTTTCTCAATGAATTAACACCGCTGCACTGTAGCGCACCTGTTCATCCACGCTGGATGGGAAAGCCACATTAACTTGGTGCGCCTAAATGGCTGCAAGAGCTGTATGGTCCCCAAAATACGACGTGCCGTTGAAATATCAAATATTATTATTATATAAACACATAAAATATTAATACGCTCTGTGCGTTAGTATTTTATTCAATCTTAAAGTAGCTGTAGCAATTTTGAGATTTTGGGGTGTTCTATATACAATGTACTGTGAGGTACCCCACTGCGGCATTACAGGAATATTGCTAAAAGCGGATTAATCCATACTCACTCACTCAATCAGTATATCCAGAAGATCAGATTGATTGTTGGACAGATGGCGAATTATGTATAAAACGATTTGTGTTTCTTCGTGTAACATGATCTTACAAGAAACATTGGATTAGTTATGAGATGTTTTGTCATGTTTAATATGTTTGTAAGAAACTGCATGCAGCTTGTGCTTTCATGGGAAACAGTCCATGTTTCAATTATTATACTTTAAATAGCAATAACTTTAACCAATCCCAACCTCGCAGTGTAACACCCCCCACGCACACTTGCAGTACACTTTTCCACATTAGCCCTTCCTGTCTGTAGATACACAATCCACATTAATCCTTCCTGTCTGTTGAGACACAATCCACATTAACCCTTCCTGTCTGTTGATACACAATCCACATTAACCTTCCTGTCTGTTGATACACAATCCACATTAACCCTTCCTGTCTGTTGAGACACGATCCACATTAACCCTTCCTGTCTGTTGATACACAATCCACATTAACCTTTCAGGCCTACCGTGACTCAATCCACATTAACCCTTCCTTCCTCTTGAGACACAATCCACATTCGACCTTGAGAATTGTCTATTAATACACAACCCACATTAACCCTTCCTGTCGACTGAGACACAACCCATAATGACAACCCACATCCAAAACCTTCCTGTCTGAGACACAACCCACATTAAACCTTCCTGTCTGTTGATACACAATCCACATTAAACCTTCCTGTCTGTTGAGACACAATCCACATTACCCTTTCAGGCCTACTGAGACAATATCCACATTAACCTTCCTGTCTGTTGATACACAATCCACATTAACCTTCCTGTCTGTTGAGACACAATCCACATTAACCTTCCTGTTGAGACACAATCCACATTAACCTTCCTGTCTGTTGAAACACAATCCACATTAACCTTCCTGTCTGTTGAGACACAATCCACATTAACCCCTTCCTGTCTGTTGAAACACAACAATCCACATTAACCTTCCTGTCTGTTGGGACACAATCCACATTAACCTTCCTTCCTGAAACACAATCCACATTAACCTTCCTGTCTGAGACACAATTCACATTAACCCTTCCTGTCTGTTGATACACAATCCACATTAACCCTTCCTGTCTGTTGAGACACAATCCACATTAACCCTTCCTGTCTGTTGAAACACAATCTACATTAACCTTCCTGTCTTTTGAGACACAATCCACATTAACCTTCCTGTCTGTTGGGACACAATCCACATTAACCTTCCTGTCTGTTGAAACACAATCCACATTAACCTTCCTGTCTGTTGGGACACAATCCACATTAACCTTCCTGTCTGTTGATACACAATCCACATTAACCTTCCTGTCTGTTGGGACACAATCCACATTAACCCTTCCTGTCTGTTGAGACACAAAACGTCATAACCCTTCTTGTCTCTCGAGACACAATCCACAGTCAACCTTGAGAATTGTCTATTGATACACAACCCATATTAACTCTTCCTGTCGACTGAGACACAATCCACAATGAACATCAATATCTATTGAGACACAACACACATTAACCTTCCTGTCTGCTGAGACACAATCAAAAATTAACCCTTCCTGTCTGTTGAGACACAAAACGTCATAACCCTTCGTCCTCTCGAGACACAATCCACAGTCAACCTTGAGAATTGTCTATTAATACACAACCCATATTAACTCTTCCTGTCGACTGAGACACAATCCACAATGCACATCAATGTCTATTGTGACACAACACACATTAACCTTCCTGTCTGCTGAGACACAATCCACATTTACCCTTCCTTCCTCTTGAGACACAATCCACATTCGACCTTGAGAATTGTCTATTAATAAGCAAACCCACATTAACCCATCCTGTCTTTTAAATTGATACACAATCCACATTAATCCTTCCTGTCTGTTGAGACACAATCCACATTCGCCCTTCCTGTCTGTTGATACACAATCCACATTAATCCTTCCTGTCTGTTGAAACACAATCCACAATGACATTACCCTTTCAGGCCTACTGAGACAAAATCCACATTAACCTTCCTGTCTGTTGAGACACAATTTAATCCACATTAACCTTCCTGTCTGTTGAGACACAATCCATATTAACCTTCCTGTCTGCTTAGACACAATCCACATCAACCCTTCCTGTCTGTTGAGACACAATCCACATTATCCTTCCTGTCTGTTGAAACACAATCCACATTAACCCTTCCTGTCTGTTGCGTCACAATCCACAATGAACATCAATTTCTATTGATACACAATCCACATTAACCCTTCCTGTCTGTTGAGACACAAAACGTCATAACCCTTCGTCCTCTCGAGACACAATCCACAGTCAACCTTGAGAATTGTCTATTGATACACAACCCATATTAACTCTTCCTGTCGACTGAGACACAATCCACAATGAACATCAATGTCTATTGTGACACAACACACATTAACCTTCCTGTCTGTTGAAACACAATCCACATTAACCCTTCCTGTCTGTTGAGACACAATCCACAATGAACATCAATTTCTATTGATACACAATCCACATTAACCCTTCCTGTCTGTTGAGACACAAAACGTCATAACCCTTCGTCCTCTCGAGACACAATCCACAGTCAACCTTGAGAATTGTCTATTGATACACAACCCATATTAACTCTTCCTGTCGACTGAGACACAATCCACAATGAACATCAATGTCTATTGTGACACAACACACATTAACCTTCCTGTCTGCTGAGACACAATCCACATAAACCCTTCCTTCCTGCCACACAATGAACAATGAACAAATGTGTAAACCATCTTGCTTTGACTGATAACCCAGAACCAATTTTTTTGCTGGTTTGAATTTTTAACATACTTCATTCACATTAAAAGGTCAAATGAATGCAGCAAAAAATTCTTGTCTTGAGTCACCCTTAGCATAAACGAGATAAACAAATAAACTCTGAAATTTATGCCATATATGAATATTTTATAAAGCCGGTAACATGTATGATTAAAACCATGATGTATAGGCACATCCACAGACAGCCATCTTGTGCTTTTTGTGCAGAAGTATTTACGTAGATTAAACGCAATAACCTTTGTATTACGTTATGACAATAGCGAGTTGTTCGTATATATGATTATGTAAACTACACACACCGATGGGAAACAAGTAAATCACATGTTTCCCTTTTTATTTAAATTCGTGAACCTTTTTTGTTGGAAATTCTTGATCCTCATTTCGTATTTATAACTTACAGTTCGGTGTACAAGGAAAAGTGCTGTCCATTATTAGATCCGTTTTCACTTCACTGTTCATTTGTGTTGTCTGTTATTTACACGACCTTCCTTCGTTGGACTAATTCATTCAAAGCTCGAGCCCGACACACGCCCACAATACTAGTATGTCAGCAGTAAAAAATGTCATTTACTCAAATCTAAATTGGGTATTGTCATTAACGGTAACCAGAGCCAAATACACATTTTTGACGGCTCCGTGCCGACTTCGTTTCACATGTGGGTTGCAAATTTGAGTTTGGCGGGAAACCGTGCTATGTGATGTGTAACCCCCGTACCATGTTATCAACCATTCAAGATGGCGGCGATTGTAGACTTCAACCTGTATCGAGATTGAAGTTTCATTTGGAAATATTAGGATTAATATTTAATTATGAGCGCATCTATTAGCGCACAACAGATTTTATCCCATTCCAAAATGTGTGGCTCATAAAATTAATTTCCAACGGAGGGTTTTAGACGTTTTCCGGAATTTTTACGGGCCGATGTGTGGCGGTGTTTTGAATGTGTGAACTTCATGGCGTCTGGGTGATACCAAACCACCCTTGATGATCGCCAGTTGAAATTAGCGCGACAAATATTCTTGGATCTCTGGTGACAAACCTAACAACAGGAAATTAAAATGGCGGATAATACAAGTACCCGACGACGTGTAAAATTATACATGCTAAATGAGGATCGCCAGTGGGATGATCGAGGGACAGGGCATGTGTCATCGGCGTACGTTGAACGACTCAAGGGAATGGCATTGCTAGTGCGATCGGAAACTGATGGTTTGTATTAATAATATATATTTTTTCATGTGCAATTAACATATCGAAATATGTTTCACACGTTGTATACTTTATTTGCAACCCACATTGTCCTTATAGTGCACTCGAAATGGGGTCATGCTCTCAGGTCATTCTTTGAAGTGCTTGGCTCGATTCCATTCACTCCCTGTTTGTGCAGACACCGTGATTTCGTCGTGTCAGGACCATTAATATCTTTTTGGTCTTTGTTTTATGCCACTGCATACGTAAAACATTGAATATTAGTGTTTTTTTGTACCTGGATACGTAAATAATTGTTCCCATATAGACATGGCTTATCTATTTATGGAAAACGTGCTGATGTCAATCAAAATGGCGTAACATTGAATAAAATTTGCAAGAACAAGCTTGTCCAGTGCAGTTTGGGCACTTGTGAAATGAATTCTTATGTTCACAGATGCAGACCGTGTATCATCTGTTGATGATATTTTCTTTAATACAACAGCTGGAATTTTAATTGAAATGTTTTCTTCATATGATCATGTTAATATTATTTTTCAGGGTCAATATTGCTTGAATCTAAAATACAACCTGATACAGCATATCAAAAACAACAGGTATGAAATGTTTTCAGTGTTTCTTGCATGTGTATGATGGAAATAAACAATCTATCAACCCTGTATCAAGATGATAATACCATTTCTGCTAAAAGATCCATGAAAGTTACCTGTGTTAAACAAAGGTTTACTTCAACATGGTCATGACATGAAGCTCAGGAGTATTTTAGAATGAGGAAGGCATAAATTTAATCATGGACCTTATAACACAGAACAACATTCTCTCATTTGGCATTGATTAAAAAACCGTTTGGGAGAAATTACCTGTTTTGTGTAATTTTCAATCTGATGGATGCTACTTACTAAGGTATTACCAGCAAAGATTGTCAAGTTGAGCCAATTTGAAAAGGAAAAGCTTTGATGTTTTCTATGACGCTAAATTTTCAATATTTGCAGGAAACCTTGATTGTGTGGTCAGAAGCAGACAACTATGATCTTGCACTTAGTTTCCAAGAAAAAGCTGGTTGTGATGAGATATGGGAGAAAATCTGCCAGGTGAAGTTAACAAGATACTTTTATACAGATTAAACAAAAATGTGCAATGCATAAGATATTTTGTTGTGGTTCCAGATACCTATTTGGAACAGTCAAGGAATAATATGCCAGTTTAGTGATATTTATCTATCCTCTCTATGATTGTTTTTGGAAATGCAAAAGAATGCAAGCTATGCCTTCAGAACATGGTTAATCTTATTTGAACCAACCCATGAAGGTCCGGGTTAGAATTGATCTTCAGTAACCCATGCTTGTCGTAAGAGGCGACTAACGGGATCGGGTGGTCAGACTTGCTGATTGGTTGACACATGTCATTGTATTCCAGTAGATCGATGTTCATGCTGTTGATCCCTGGATTGTCTGGTACAGACTCGATTATTTACAGACCGCCGTCATATAGCTGGATTATTGCTTATTTGAACCACAACATTTGTTAAGGCCTATAGACCAGTCATTAATGCCTTTTTAATTGTGTTGGTTTACCATTATTAGTGAACATGTGGTTTCTTTAGTTTAATATCAGGTGTATTAATCTTGTTATGGTTAAAATTTAAAAAATGAAAAACTGGTTTTAGATTTCTGACTTATTTTTGTTTATGTATGTGCAGGTTCAAGGTAAAGACCCCTCAGTAGATATAACACAAGATGTAGTTGAGGAGTCAGAAGATGAAAGGTTTGATGACATGCCTGATGCTGCACCACCAATTGAACTGCCCCCTTGTGAACTCAGCAAGTTGGAGTATATCTCGGAAATCTTCAGTAGTGTTCTTCCATCACCTATACGACGGGAAAAACTATCTGTGGCCATAGAGAATGAAGGATACATTAAAAAACTGGTGGAACTTTTTCACATATGTGAAGACTTGGAAAACATGGAGGGTCTACATCATTTATTTGACATATTCAAAAGTATATTTTTACTGAACAAGAACGCCTTGTTTGAGATCATGTTCTCAGATGAATTGATTTTTGACATTGTTGGTGTGTTGGAGTATGATCCTTCCTCCCCATCACCGGTGAAACACAGGGAATATCTCAAAAGTACTGCCAAATTTAAAGAAGTTGTTCCAATTACCAATCAGGAGTTGGAAAACAAAATCCACCAGACTTACCGTGTACAGTACATTCAAGATGTGATATTACCTACTCCTTCAGTGGTTGATGACAACATGCTGTCATCACTAGCATCATTTGTCTATTTCAACAAAGTGGAAATTGTCAGTATGATTCAGGTGGGTACACATAACTACACATGGTACAAGATGACATCTTCAGATCATAACGCCTTTTGCTTATTAGGAGTCATAGATATGGTAGCTGATAATTAATATAAATCCACCTTATGCTTTTATTGTATGTTACATAATAAACATTGTATTCATGGTTGATGTACATAGATTGCATGCTGGTACCAAAACTTGTCTGACAGTGAAAGTTTTTAAACGTGCCTTGACAATTAACAAGAACAGGGAATTGAAAGGATAGAAATGTGTTCTTTTCCAAGTGTACAAAAATTGAAGTGTGCATCCAAGAATAGTTTTGATGCATCTTAATAAGTTGTCCATGGTCCCAGCATGGTGGCCCTATTTGATCGCGCAGGGGTAATTCTTGTGAATCGTCTAAACCTACGGCCCATGGTTCATTTTCCTCTTCTTTTCACTCATACCCATTCTCATCCTTGTTTCATACAGGTGAACTATAGCGACATTTTTGCTTTTATATCGTGATCTAATAGTCACATATAATAATTTTCAAGGGCTAGTTTCAAATCAAATAGTGATAGTCACTAGTGTTGGGAATTGGTTGAAATCTCATAATTGATGATTGCTTTATTACCAACGAACAATCATCGATAAAAATTGGTTAGCATCAATTTTCAGATTTTCCTATTCAGGTTGTTATTGCATATATGTATAACATGATGCACCTTGCTACTTTAAAGTGATGTTGATATATCATGAACATAAACCTTCTGGGGTCTTCAAGAAATATTCAGTCATGACTTTTCAGTTAGTGAAGTGAGTTTTCTAAGAATTAAACACGTTTTCAGGCCCTGACAACTTCGAAGATATGTTCCATCGTCAAGTGTTTCAAAGACTAAAACAGCAGTTCCAAAATCGTTTGTGTTCGATTATGAGAAAATGTGATCGATTGCTCGGTCGTTGGCCACATCGACCAATCTTCGATTATTTCAATTAATCAGAACACCACTAATAGTTACAATGTAGCTGAAATATTAGCTATGTGACTTGAAATTTTAATTCACTCACTGTATGCCTGGTGAATGTCATTTCAGCATGCCCTAGATAATACAAAGATGTAATCTTTGAGTTGGGGTCTTTTCTTTTTTCATTCAGATTGATGACATCCTATTCACTTTCTGAAACCCAGGTTGATTTAATGAATCATGCTGTTCAGCAAACATGTTTGTATTTCTATTTAAACTATTTGCAGATGTTACTTTTCCAGGAAACATTTGTCACTGGCATTGTAACAAATAAGGGTTTTAAGTTTGTTAGGCAGGCATCAGTTAGTCTTTTATTTGTAGTATCATTTTACTTTGTTAATGGCACTAAAGAATAATGAATTTCAAAGACTGAATAGGTTTGTATCTTATAACAACTATGGGATTTACCCCGAAATCACCCATGGAATTACACAAGCTCATGTCATGCTAAGTAACATGTGATTGGACAGTGGGGACCCACAGTGATGTCAGAGGTTGAAAATATTTTTGTCATTTAGTTCAAGTTTTATTATTTGTATACCTTAATTATGCAGGGTTTTATGAACGTTTGCATCCAAGATTAAATATTGAGAATTGGTGCAACCAAATTATTGTGTGAAGGGATGAAAAATATATGACTGTTTAAATCAGTAAAACCTAGTGTAGTGATCACCATGAAACTGTTTGGAACCGACGTTCTTTTTCTCGATTACTAAGGTTGATTTTAGATAAGGATAACCCCACCCATAGTGTATGACTTCACATATACGTAAATTCTGTATGTTAGTACACTGGTGATGAAAGCTAAAACGTAATGAAGATGTACAGGGTCCTTACATTTACATACTGTAGCAGAAAGTCTTGAGATATGGGGCAAGTTGGTCTTAGCATGCTTGCTGTTTGGATTGTCTGCATGGTCTAGTTTGGGAATGCACAGGCTATTTCAGACACTTTGCAGACATTAGATTCACATGGAAAAAATGCAGATGTATTGCATTCAGTGTATATAATGGGAACTATAGTGTTTTTCAGTACCTGACTTCGATTGTACATGCAGATCCAAATTTCTGCATATTAAGTAATGTTCTGGTTCTAATAACAGTCTGTAAATTTGGTTGAATGGTTAGGATTTTTGTGTTTTTATTACAAATGATAGTATGTAAAGCATGCTGGTTTATCAGTTATTTACGAAGGGAAGCATCAGTTGTGAATGAAAGGTTTGTAGATTTTGTCTAAAACAATAGAGATAATGACAAAACTTGTTATAATTTTTGTATCCTTTATACTGGTTCCCAGAAAAATAATTTGCAATACATATTGTTTAAAAAGTGTGATGTAGTATACCAGTAATTCATTGCAGTCCTACAGTCAAGTATAATTGATATGACGTAATGTTGATATGCATGTGAAGCTGCTGTCTATTCAATTGTAGCCATTTGTTTGAGATGCCTGACTCTGGAGGCGGTACAAAAACACAGCACACTATGTCAGTGTCGTTCACATCATGTAAACAGTGTTCCCACTAAAGGCAAGAGTGCAGAACAGTGATGACTCACCCAGATGGGATAGACAAAGCCACTAGTCTGATATTTTGAGTCTAAGGAAAATCCAGAGGGACTGATTATTTTGCAGAAATTACTTTGTTCAAAGTGGGTTTCGAACTAGAAGGATATGACCAATCGTAATAGCCTCTGAACAAACATGCATGGCTCCAATCACATTTGTCATGATCATGTTTAAATGAAGGGCGTGGCTGACAACTGTATGACTGCAAAACACTTGGACCACATTTTGTAGTGTCACTGTCTCTATTGATCCTCAGACTAAGGATTAATCTAGGAAATCAAGTGCCCTTTGTTGACACATCAGGAAAACCTTTTGTCAAAATATTGGATTGGAAGGTATTAAGCAAAAACAACTTGATAAAAACCTTAATTCTTCATGTTTATATTTGACCTATCATTAGTGAAATACAAGTCTACTCTACAAAGCCATTACAGTAATTGAATAACATGAATTGATAGGGAGGCGTTAAACCAAAAACATATTCTCTCACTATGATGATTATACCAATTCTCCATGTTCTAATGTAGCTGGTTTTTTTTTACATCTTGGATAACCTCATTTTCATGGAACATTTTCTATTTCTGTGTGCCCTTTTAACATGAAAGATTGATGAAGCTGTGAAAGATTTAATGTTATTCATTTCAGTTGTTTATGCAAAATGTTACACAATATATAGTATGCACATCCATATTCCCTTTGGACTATATTCAATCCGTGAAGATCCATGTTAGAATTGATCTTCAGTAACCCTTGCTTGGTGTAAGAGGCAACTAACATGATTGGATAGTCAGGTTTGCTGACTTGGTTGACACATGTCATCGTATCCCAGTTGTGTAGATCGATGCTCATGGTGTTGATCACTGGATTGTCTGGTCCAGATTTGATTATTCATAGACCGCTGCCATATAGCAGGAATATTGATGAGTCATGTGTAAAACTAGACTCGCATTACTCATTGGACTATATTCTTTCATAAACGGAATGAAAATCAAGCATGGGTAATTTAAAACGAGTACCTTGGAAATAGATCCAGGGGTTTAGTGCAGGTTTGCAGAAATCAGGTCCTGGAAATAGAGGATGATATTAGAAATGGTAGTCTCAAGAGAAGAGTCATCAGTCCTTCCATGGTTTTTGACAATCTTGTTCAATTATTTTTGTATGTCTTCAAATGTTGTATTTGGGAGCAATAATCTGATGTGTACAAATCTGAATTTTCTGCTCAAATGCAGAAGTTATTGCCAACCTAGGGAAAATGTGCCCCAATTCATGTATTTTGTTTTGGTTCTGTAGATTAGTTGACAAATAGTTGGACTAATGTAAGAGGAAGACCTATTGCCAAGTTTCGTTGTTGCATTACAATGATAAACTACTTCAAAATTGATTAATATAAGCACTTATGAACAAAATCTTATTTCTGCTAAGTTCACTAAGTTTGGAATCCTAGAGGGATCCCTGACAAACGCTTCAAGTATATGTAGGTAGATGCTAACTGTTCCACTTCGATACAACATTTCCTTCTGTCTTGCCATATGGTGTCTTGGGCTAGTGCAAACATGTTCTGAAGCAAGCTTGGAAATATGATAGCCCATGATCATGGTGTTACAGTGACCTCCTTAGCTTGTTTCCAAACTGAGCCAAGCCTATTTTATGTTTCCCAGGATTTGTTCCAGTGTAGGACAATGACAGTGCAGTTGTCCGGAAATTTGTGTTCTCTAGAAAAGTTGTAGAGCACAGTTGTTTTTTCTGTGTCAGTAGGGCAGTGACTCATGACTGATAAGGGCATTCCTATAGTGAAGGAGTGAGCAGGGGTCACATTTGTTGTTTTGTACTGTGATGGCTACTGAAACTGATACACCAGACAACCATGCAGAGAATCAGATTATTTCAGCCATTGAGTGTTTGCTGACAAGCTATTATTGTACTCTAGCTGAAAGGTTACAATGCGTAATTACCAGGAGTTTTAATCAAATTACTGGGCCCTTTGAAATTGTCATGCATATTTGTATGCAAGTAACTAAAAATAAATTTGGTAGTATTTTGCTTACTTTATGCACCTCAGAAGTTCATGGAGACTCCCATGTATTCAGCGTCAGAAACCAGCATTATTACTGTAGTGCATTTACCCATGTTTTCAATGCTAAAGCATCCAAGGGACTAGGAGAGTTTTATACAGTCATCCCTCGCAATAACGCTCTACGCGATACTGTGGATTTGGTTAAATCTCAGGGTAATCCGTGGCTCCCATAAAAAAAGTTGCCCAGCGATCACACATCTTCACGTCATCGAAAATAGCACATAAACAAATCCGCTGTTGAGCTCTCGTTAACCACGATGTAAACTAGTGAAATTCAGTGCGGATTGCAATTAACAGTGTTTATCGTACATATCCATGGTTTTTCAGATGCTTAAAACATGCAGGGTTTTCTCAATAATAATCAGACGAACAGCGCAACATTGTAATAACTTATAAGACAACTTTATCATAAAGACATGCCATCAGCCGAATACTTACAATGTTTGTTGTGATGCAACACATCGCCCTCCGAGAACGTATGATGTCGGAAAACACATTTTATTTGATTAAATTCATCCCAGTTTCATTCATTAAACTGTTTACAGTAACAACAGATAAACAGTGAGTGAAATGGCATTACCTCATTTCATACAACTTCCGCTTACCACATTCGTGACAGTCTGTTTTTTTGCGCCTACCGCAATAGCACCAATTTCACAGTTTTCTCAGCAATCACGAACAGATTACAGCCTCGTCATCCATTGACCCCAAGACCCGCGTTATTGACTCATTGAAGTCATATTTGACAATTAATTGCCATTATTTTGTTTTTACAATCAAAGTGGCACGTACCGCGGGAAGTCAGCGGTGACTTGTCAAACTGTCTCCTACGTAAAATGTATCCAGCCAGGCAGTGTTCACAAATAACGTCTGACCCTCTGACAAATCCGGCAGATTTGCCAACAGTCTGATAGAAGTGTACAACCCGCCGGCCCCAGTGTCTGACTGCATATTTCACAAAGACTTTGACTGAAGTTGTTATATGTGACATGTCACACTTGGTTGCTGTTTATAAATCTTATATTCGTTAATAATTTCAATGCCAATTATACGAAATGTTAGATCTGAAATGTGTGTTTAAATTTATTCTATGGGTCCTGTGAATTTTCAATGGGTCAGACAGACATCTGACACTTACAGGACCCAATGTCCGGTTATTTTGAAACACCATTCGTGAACACTGCAGCCAGGTAAACCAAAGTGCTCAGCCTATGTTCATTATTATGTTAAATATGTTAGTAGAAGAAATGCATTATACTTAATAACTTATGAGATAGCATTATATAATATCTCTGTTAAAATAACTGCTTAAGATATAAATTATTCTGATAATGGAATAGAAATTCTTTGATGTTATGTTATCGGATTGTTTTTAAATGAATCACCGGTACATTGGACCAAAACGTCTGTGCACAGCTGATTGCTTCTTCGGCTTAGTTGAATAACAGGTAGCATAACAGAAACAACAATTGAATTACCATGTCTAGTGATGTTTGCTTGCAAGGTTCCTTTACATTCATTTACAAAATATGTATTTTTCCAACAATACGATATAGTTTTGACTGGGCACAATACACGAAATAGCAGGTTTGTTACGTCCATGGAAAATACGATTTTACTTGGCCTTTGTTCCGCGTTATGTAATAGTTACTATAACGCTGGTGTCTAATAACGCGCAGCGGTGGGGATCATCCATGGACCCCAAGACCCACATTATGGCGAGGGATGACTGTATTTTTTAATGTTACATCATCAGTATGACTTATCATGCTGGTGACAATATTACTAATATAGTAATCAGTTGTAAATACGATTGTATTAGCACTGTTAGTATGATTACTTGTACAAAAAGGAAATGCTCTTCAGTTGATAGATTATCACCCAGATCAAAGGAATAATTGTTTGCTTTCCAACAGCTATCAATAGGATTAGTGGCTTAAATGAGTTTCTGATATTTAACTTACACCCTTATGTTAAGGACTGAGTTGAAAATTCATTTTAGTTTAGTAAATATAGCTTATTGTCTATATTCCAGCACAAAATTGTCTGAAAGTAATGCCAAAAGCAATGTTTGGGCAAGTAGACGAAGTTTGGGCACAGAATGTACATGCTGCAGTCATGACGTGTAAATAATACTGTTTGGACTGTTTCCATGGTTACTTCCATGGTTACTTCCACAAAACAAAACAAAATGCTCTGCAGTTTCAAGATTATCATCCAGAGCAAAGGAAAATTCCTTTTCTTTCCTACATCAAAATAGAAGAACCAAGGAATCCTAAGAAGAATTGACAGATGACACTCTATTCCAATGAATCAAATTCTCCTATTAACTTTTAAGGATAAATAGCCTATGATATTTAGTAATTTTACAAATTTTTGTTTATATGCTGAAACACAGGATATTCATGCATTTTAAGATGTTAGGCTTTGCACATTTGTATTCATGGCGAGTTTGTTATCCAACATTGTGTACAATCTGATGATTACTCCTGTTGAGATAGTCTGCTAATGTTAGTGTGCTGTAAATGTTATACTATAGTTTATATTGTTTGTTTACTGCCAGACAGGACAATATATGTCCTATTCTAGTATTTCTTCAGTTGCTGAAGAAGATTTCTACCAATACATAGCATGAAAGTTCTCCCAGTGCTACCTTTGGTCATTTTTTCTGTTTCATAAACCACTCAATCTGGTAAACAAGTTGTGGCCCAGGTCTTAAATAATCAATAAGTTGTACATATATGGGCTGAAGGTAGGCAGCAGAACATGAAGACCAGTCAGTCTAGGAAGATGATATACACATACGGTGCAACAAATACTCTTGTCAGTCTCTGTTTGGTCTAGTAGTCTGGGCTGAAGAGAGTGGTGTTAAGAACCCATATGTTGAAGGCGATGTTTGTTGAAAATGTTGTAAGCCCAACAGGGTACACTGCCTCACTGTGAGATGGTCAATTAACCAGTCTTCAGGTTTAGTTTCTGGTATCAAAGAGTGAAATGTATTTTGAAATCTGTTCATAGTATATTGTGTATGTGACAAGGCTATTTATAATTTTTTCCGAAAAAATACTAAATACTATGTATGTTGTACCACTTAAATGATTTGGAGAATTAACAAAGATTCCAGATTTCTTTCGGAAAGCCATATTTTACAGTAATCATGTATTCTAAATTTGTAAACCATCTGGACCACATGAACACTGCTGAAATAAATCTTATTGATGTCTAAATAAGTGAACACACTTACGTCAACTAACACATACTCAGTGTCATAATTTGAATTAAAGTAATGCCTTCTTCTTACATTAGGCATTCATCTTGCTTATGTAAATAGGAGCTCAAACATCTGGTATATCGTATTCTGTTTATTAAAATGCTTTGAAATGGCCAAGTATGCATCATAAACCATGTTATGTCAATCACTCTAGATAGGTTTACTGCAGTGGCTAAAAGGATGCTAAAGGGGTCACCAACACATTTTGCGATGGGTTGGTTTACTCAGGATTTATGTTATTGTAATGGGAACACATTAGAGTAATCATGTTTGTGTCTGGCTTGTCTCCCTACTAATAAGTGCACATTGGTTTTGCTTCACTGGCCATTTTATCCAGAAGAACAAAAGGATATTGATAATAAGGTTTTGATTTGTATTTCTCCGACCAGCAGAATCACCAGGCCAGCTGCTTCTGTTGTCCGAGCTGACTCAATAACGAATCAATAAATTTAAATGAAGAAACCCAGTTGTGAAGCATATGATATGGGGGAGAACTCTTGCCCTAATATTCAATTATTACAGGATACATGTTAATCTGAAAGAGCAATGACCAATCCTATCATATTATGTCTGTTTTCGATGACCTTTCACAGACAATTATATTTTTTTATGTCACATGTGTTTGGGAGCCTAGACATTGTGAAGATGGCATGATTAATATAGTTTTCTGGTACTTTGAGCTGACACTTCAAAATCTAAGTTTTCTGATCGAATTACCCTGTAGGTGTGTAGCCGATCATTTATATGCAGCCAACAGGAACATCAAATACTTAGCAGTGCTTGTGTATTACTTTCTGGAAGATATGGGTGGGGCAAGTTTTGATTCTCACCATGCTCTCAACATGACATTTGGCACACTTCCCAACTTCCCAAGCGCGCACACTTAAACATCTTTTTGATTGTTCTTTGATACCAATGAAAAGAAATCCCTTTTCATGCCTGCTCACAGCGTGTTATGTCTTATTGTCCATGTTTGAGATTTCTCTATGTTCATGAAAATTTTTCCCTTTCCAGGATGATGAAAAGTACTTGACAACTCTATTTGCTCAACTAACTGACGACGAAACAGATGATGACCATCGGCGAGATCTCATATTATTTCTGAAAGAGTTCTGCACTTTCTCACAATCATTACAACCTATCAGTAAAGAAACATTCTTTAAGGTTGGTAAAATGCTTTAACTGTTATTGAGTTGACAAAACATTGCTTTGAACTGTTGTCATGGTTATTAAGCTAATAACACGTGACTTGATTTAAGGTAATTCAATGTTACATTTACAGAAACGGAAAGATTTCTAAGGAAATAAACTCAGACATTTTCAAACTATGGCAGCTGTGGTATATTTAAGCTGTTTTTCATCATGTTTCTAATATAAATTTTGCTGTTGCAGACACTATCAAACCTTGGGGTATTATCAGCAATAGAAGTCATTTTGGTAAGTCAGAATTTTTCAGGTTTTATGACATATGTTTTAGTAAAAATTCAACTTATTGTTTGGTATCGTATGCTTGGCATGAAAGTAAATTGACACTTTCAGTGTTTGCAGGGGTGGAAATAACTTTAAAATTGCTAGTGTACTCCGGTACAGTGGCACATGTAAAATCACTTGCCCTGATAAGTTTTCCACTATACCGGCCGTTTTCTTGTTGATATTTTTTAATAAACAACATAATTTACATTGGAAAGTCAACTGGACACCGGTACAGTGTGATATACAAATTTGCTTGCCCGACAGAAAAAACACACTGGACTCGGACGTCGGGCAATGGGTTATTTATGCCCCTGTTTATATATATATATATATATCAAGATTAGAGACATTTTATCTCATTCACTTTCAATTACACTGTGTTCTTTTGTCTCCTGAAGATATTTGAAGTAAGGAACATATGACTATTAATATTATGAGTATCGATATGTGTTTATTATACCATTCATTGCACTTTCAAATAGATGGCATATATGAATGTGTTCACAGGAAAAAAAACTAGTCCAACAATCTGCAGCTTGAGACAAAGTTAAAAGCCTGCTGAAACTGCTTTCATGAACTATATCAAAGACAGGTGACTGATTGATTTTGTCTTCTATTAACTGTAGCTTGTATCAGAAGATTCTAACCAGTTTTTGTTGTTTCAGGGGTTAGATGATGCTAGAATGAAGACAGCTGCCATAGACATATTTTCCTACATAGTGGAATTCAGTCCGTCCATGGTGCGGGAGTTTGTTCTTCACGAAAGCCAGAATCAAGATGACGTAAGTGCTCCCTAAAAGAATTTGTAGAATTGTCTTTAACCTCATAATGTGAGCATGAAAAAGCTCATTTATAGCCCAAGTATATTTTAAAATGCAGTTACAATTGGTATGTGTGCTGATAGTGAGGGTCAACTCATGCGTTCTGCTTTTCCAATGTTATTATAAATGTTTACTTGTATTTGTATTTTTACCTGTATGTTTGTGTGTAGAATACATGCATGGAGGGTGTAAGGTCGGATTGGTCCCTGTCAAGTGTCCATCACACTGTAAACTCATCTCTGCAGAAACAACTTGTTCTCATCACAATTTGTTCAAGAGTTACAATCCTATCTGCTCCAGCAGCCATATTGAAAGGTCTATAGAGGCCATAAGTCAACATGTTTTGTTCAGAATGTCATGAAGTTTGGTTTTTGGTCAGTTTCACACACTTTTTGGAACATTTCCTATATTTACCAAGTTGAGACTATGCTCTTAATTTGTCTCAAAAGGCAAATTTGGTTGTTTCTCATTATGAGAATCACATAGTTTGTTAAGATAATGTTTTTCTGGCAGTTTTTAGTTATCAGTATATATGCAGAAAATGTTTGAATGTCTGTCCTGAAAGCAACTTTTGTCGATAAACTATGGCTTTGTGAGGATTTTAAACTTTATGCTACGATCTAGCCAATCTGGATGAGCTACTTTATGATGTACCTGCCATGGTATCCCCAGAATGCTATGGATCCCCATGTTTTAACTTCTTTTTTTCCGCTCGTCGCGCTGAAGACCCGGGTTCGATTGTCCATATGGGTACAATGTTTGAAGCCTGTTTCTGGTGTTCCCCTCTGGGATATTGCTGGAATATTGCTGAAAGCGGCATAAAACCATACTCACTCACTCTCAAGGACTGGTTAGAATCCTGTGTTTCTACAAAGTAGTGAAAGAAGGGTTACTATGTTAACTTGAACCTGCTGTTTTGAAGACTGAGCATGTTATACCATGTGAAATGTTTGTTTTTTTGTTGCAGGATGAACTCTTGATAAACCTAGTCATTGAACAGATGGTCAATGACGCTGATCCTGGTGAGTAGAATTATAGAGACTGAACCTATATTGATCTTTAGCAATTTTGCCTTACTGCCAGCTATTTTATAGTTATGGCTTAAAAACGTTTGGTACTGATATGTATGTTTTGTGTAAATATGCTCTCCCATACCAGGTTGTATTTGTTTGAGAAATATTGTATATGGACAAGTATTTGAATAATGCATATTATTATATGGCAGATAAAGAATTGAATTCTACATTTCGGAAGTATGATAGTTAGGAGTGAAGTCTCGAAGGCTGCGAAAGTAAGAGTCTTGTATTGTGTTTGTGATTTTTCTGTCTACTATACCTGATACTGTTTCTCATCATTGTGGACTGCTATCTAGAACTGGGGGGTGCCATGCAGCTCATGACAGTCATCAGGCTACTGCTTGACCCTGAGAATATGATGCCAACAGCCAATGTAAGTCTTTTATCCTTAATGTTTGAAATGAGTTGTTATCATAAATGACATACATGATCATCTCTGCTTTATTCACTATTTTGAAGTGGAAGTGAAATGAAAGGTCCCGTAACTATATTATTCTCTAAAGCACCTTCAATTACCCTTCCAGAACCTTACTAAGAATGCCGTTTGATCTGTTAGTGCCAGGTTTAGGCATGTCTATTTTGCAATGACTTAAGTAAGTTTGGTTTTAATTTCAATGTTTGCTTCTGACATTACAGAAGACTGAGAAGACAGAGTTTCTGAGCTTCTTCTACAAACACAGCATGCATGTCCTGACAGCTCCCCTATTTGCCAACACTGTGGATGAGAGGCCGAGTAAAGGTAAGCAAAATTGAATTATTCGTCTGAATGTGACCTGATATTCTTGTCCAACTCAAATACTTTTGCAACATTGTAACAAGGTTAGAAATGGTTACTTATTAATTGATTTCAGGAATCTGTCATATGGAATATTGCTGAGTGGGTTGTTAAACAAATAGACCTAAATCAACACACACACACACACACGCACGTTTATTTAATAATTTGTTTTCTAGATGATTACCAGACTGCTCAGCTGCTAGGTCTGATCTTGGAGCTGCTATCTTTCTGCGTGGAGCATCACACATACCACATCAAGAACTATGTTATTAGCAAGGACCTCCTTGGTAGAGTGCTGGTACTGCTCAAGTCAAGACACTCTTTTCTTGCTCTTTGTAAGTGATTTATTTATGTTTATTTGATTACCCACTGCTGATTTCTTGAGTAATTTGTCTGAAATGTTCCTGACTAATGGATGAAACTAGTTCACCCTTCAACTGTATTCAGATCAAAATTTCATAGTATGTAGATCCATTAAGCGTCTTGCTGTAATATGTTGAACAAGAGAGCCTTGTAAGCTTCAATTTTTAACCTGAGAGGTTTGACAAGGGCCCATAAACTTTCAAGTTGAAATTCTGAACAATGCAGAATTTTGTGTGAATACTGCTTCCATCACCTGTGACCGATATTCTTCATTGACACGTAGTCATTAAGATAAAAGGCCAGGTCACGTCTCAAAATCTTGAGTGGATGATACATACTGAGGTTTATTTCTTTATTGTTTGCAGGTGCCTTAAGGTTTATGAGGAAGATTGTTGGCTTGAAAGAAGAGTTCTACAACCGATATATAGTCAAAGGCAACCTGTTCAAACCTATCGTTGAGGCATTTGTTGCAAATGGAGACCGATATAATCTGCTTAACTCTGCAATGATTGAATTGTTTGAATTTGTCAAAGCTGTAAGTGTTTGCACATTTTTATTTTACATTAAACTACAAGTTTCTTAATAGTAATGAACGAACGCGTAGATAATTTTTTTATGCAGCTCACTAATTTCGCCAAGTTGATTGAGAATTTGTTTAGTGTCACATGTGCAATTTCTCAGTTGCATGTTTACCTTCCATTAAAATCATAAGGGGCATTATTGTCCCCTGCCGGAACGGGGGACTATGTATTCAGCGGTGTACGTCTGTCCTGATTCTTGTTAATGAGATATCTCATGAACTGTTGTACCCAATGCCTTTTATTTGGGTGACCATGACCTTATCTTCAAGGTCACCACGAGACTTTGAACACTTTTCAAACTCTTGTTAACGCTATATCTCATGGACTGTTGTACCCAATGTCTTCAAATTTGGTGACAGCCTACATTGGGGGATTACGCAGACACTAGTTTATTTGGGTGACCTTGACCTTATCGTCAAGGTCACCACAACACTTTGACTGCTTTTTAAACTTATTTAGACGCGATATCTCATAAAACATTGCACCCAATGTTTTCAGTTATGTTGACAGCCTACATTGGGTGATAATGCAGACACCAGTCATTTCAGGCATCTTGTATGTGAAGTAGTAAATATAGATATTTCATTCTTTAGCGGCAGGGGACATTGCCATATCAGTGGCAAACACTTGTTTTATTAGTTTCTTTATTTCGAAAGACATGAGATTGTTAGTGAAAATGGGATACAGCCCCAAACATCTTGAAATGCATGTATTTCTAATTCCATATCAATTTATTAATGCCATGGTTTGAGGACATGGTGGCCTGAGCCAAAAACATGCTACTAATGCGATGTTACTGATACATTGTATGTATTTATACAGGAGGATGTGAAGTCTCTGTGTTCACATATAGTAGAGAACTTCATCAAAGATCTAGATGGTGTGAAGTATGTGAAGACCTTTGAATCATTAAAACTGAGGTACGAACAACAGCAAGACAGGTTGAAAGACAGGGCAAATACTGAGAGGTAATTTGCTCAGATATCTACAGCTTTGTTGCTTTCAAAGTGTATCAGACAGCATTACCTTGGCATTAAGTCCTATTTTTGGAAATAATGTTTTACACATTGATCTGAAATAGTAGAAAATAATTCCAATATTTTTTCTGAAGAAATTAAACTGACTTTTTAGACATCATGACTGGGTTTGCAGAAAGCAGTTGTTAGGTCATGCTGTTAAAACACTTTGATGTTATGTAAATATCCAGTAACGAATTCTGATCTCTATCATACTCATTTCTTGTAAACTCTGTCAAAGAATTCTAATGTCCAAATGAACTTCTTTAACAAGTAAACTCTGATTAATTGGACAGATGCTATGCAAATGTGTGTTAAATGTATTTGAGACAAATTTGAGTAAGAGGAATTGGTTTTTACAGTGCATACAAGGGTTTTCGCGAATACGAAAGTTATGTAAGTTGTATTCATGTACAGATTTGCTGTATTCAGTCACCCAGGATCACTGGGGCGAATGAACCGCTTCCGCCGAGATGTTCGGATCATGGATGAAGAAGAGGAAATGTGGTTCAATGAAGATGAGGAAATGGATGACTCTGAGGCCCATGCTCCCATGTCAGACATCCTCAGGACAAAACTGGATGCAGACTTTGACCAAATAAATAGAATTTTAGAAAATAAAAAAGGTTAGAGTGAAATTGGGAGAGGTTGAAATGCGTGTGAATAGACATGTTTGAAAATAATATTGTTCATGATATATGTTTGATCCCCTTTGTGTATACTGTGTATTGCATTCCAGTTAATTACGCTGAAAACAGCTGGATTTTGTAGTGAACCTTTGAAGTTTCAGTCAAACGGTCAGTCAGGAAAAATATAAGTTAAACAATGTGTATGTCATAATAACCCATGATTTCATAAGCATAGTATTTGATTGTGTCTTGAAATTACAGATTTTTATTTGGAAACATCTTTCACCTTTTAGCCAAAGAACAGGCAGAGCTCCGAGAGTCTCCACCCAGACTACTCAACAAGACTTCCACTATCAACATCAATCTGCGGAGTGGTAGTCCCCTCTCCAGTCCCAACAGCTCCCCAGGTAGCCCGGGCTCGCCCGAGAATGCCTACTCCCCACCTGGAAGCCCTGGCAGTCCTAGTACACCCAAGATAGTACCGCCACCCACACCAGACTGTTCACCTAACTCATCACCACAACTTAAACCAAATGCTATCGCCAAAAAGGTACTTGGCTTATTCTGTTACTTTATTGGGTTTCTTTGTATTGCTGCCTTTATATACATTTTCTCTTCACGATTTAGGAAACAGTTTTTCAAGCATATGGCTCTCATTTGAATCCAGCATGACCATCATATTATTTGCCAATTTGTTGGTGTTGAAGGCCACTGTTTTACTTGATCACTGAACTAGTTATGTATTAACTAAAGGTTGAGATATTTAGTAGTACCCTATGTATTAGTGTCTTCAGTTGAAATGGCTTTATTATGTTTCATGAGAGTCTTCCAGGATTGTGAATACTCAATCTTTATTGAGAAAGATGTCTTGACTTGAGATTGGTTGGCTGAAACTGTAATTGAAATGTTACCGCCTACTACTACTTAGTATGTACCTGATATGGCTGTGACATTAGTCAGAACATGATATGATCACCTTTAGCTGTAGCTGTAGCTGGGGGTGGGGTAGCCTTGTGCTCAAGACCTGGGTTCGATTCCCCACATGGGCACAATGTGTGAAGCCCATTTCTGGTGTCCCTCGACGTGATATTGCTGGAATATTGCTAAATGTGGAGTAAAACCATACCCATTCACTCATTTAGCTGAAGCTGATAAGACATTCACATTAATACATGAGAAGACTGATGTTGAACTTCTGTGTTTCAGCCATTGGTTGGTCTTGTTGACTACCCAGATGAAGATTCAGACGAGGAGGAAGATGAGACAATATTACCCTCTCCAAAGAGAGCACGGTTAGGGACGTAACTTCTGTAGTAGATTAGTATGAGGACTTGATTTACACTGTGTTCTGGGCTTGTCACTGCGTGCATGATGCACGACCTCGCAGCCCTACTCGCAATGGAGGGAGGGCCCTGTCTGACCTTTGCTTGACCTCACTCAACCAACCATTCCACAGATGAAACGACAAGTCCGTGATAGATCCACAATCCCTCACTGGATGGCCTCCCAAACCAGACAAATGGGAGTATGCGTAGTACTTGACCAATCCTGGTGCCCGTGACAAGCAGAGAGCTGTTCATAACCAATCATGATGAAACATTGCAGAACAAGTTTTCTATCTATCATATTGCTGAAAGCTGCCAGTGCATCAGGATCATGCCTCAGGAATTCCATGACCAGCTGTTTGAATACCTGTGCTGAATCCGACTTGTTTATCTTGGTCAAAATAGTGCATGTGTTTAATGTGATTGTGAACCAAAGACATGTCAATAGATTGTACAAAAATGGTTTGTCTTAGAAATCAAAGGAAATGCAGACTCTGGGGTTTGAAACCTGTGCTTGTAAGATTGGACCATTCACAAAGACATTGTTTTTGTTTTTAAAGGAGAGACTTTATTATATTGTGATTGATTACAGCATTTGTCATTTATTCACTAAAACAGAGCCATCATCATTGAAATGTGTTGTAAATGGAATGTGTGAATTTATTTATATGAATCCATACCATTCATACAGCATAAGTGTTCTCATTTTTCAAGAGATGCAAAGTATGACGACATAATCCTCGACTTCTCAAATTTTAGTAGTAGCAAAAAGTACATTTCTTCAGCCCGACATTTTCTCAAAACGTTGCCCTAGAAAAGCAGACATCACAGATTCCTTCAATTTCACTTGTTTCAAAGATAATACTTGCACCCTCAGTACAACAAAGGATTTATTTTTATGTAGAAATGCCATTCAGATCATGTAAAAATTACCTGAAGGGTTGTGTGTATATTCTTGAAATATATATATATGGATTTGTTCTTTTCTGGGTTGCAAGGTAAATATTGGAAATATCGAGGCTAATCATGCAAGGATGTCTCTCAGATGTAGCTACTTAAATTCAAGATCCTTGACCAGGCAGCTGTAAAAAGACAACTACATATTTTAGGGATGGGGATCCTGGGGATGATGGCATCCCTTAATCTTGAAGAGAGAATGAAGTCTTTGTACATATATTTTTGTGACAGGGGAATGAAGTCAAATGGGTAATTTTGAGTGTGGATACAGACTTGTGGAAGAATTTATTACAGTAGAATACAAAGTGATCAGTATCCCCATACATGTGAAGTAGAAAATCCATTTTAGCCGACTGAAATTTTTATCATGTAACATATTCATGTTTAATTAAATAAATGCCATGCCGAAGGCGTGGTTTAGTTATTTTAAGTGCATGGTCTTCTTAATGAACGCTCATGACTTGGACACTGACCCACAATGAAACAATCAAAAGCTGAAGGCTGAATAAACAGATTTTCATATACATCTTGCTTTGCTGTCTTCTGACATATAATCTGTTGATTGGTGGTGTAATGTATACCACTGTGCAGTGATTGATCTACAGTCATATCTTTCATTTATGTGCAATGTGGACATGACTTAAAATAGAAAACAAGATATTTCGAGGAAGGTCGAAGTTGCACATTTTCTGGAATGGTTAATAGGCTATTTACAAAAAAAAGTGTCATGACTGTTTTGTGCCGACTGAAAAGACCCATATAGTTTGCCATCAGATCAAACAATGGATGAAGACCTTGCTGATTTGTTGCATTTGGAGATGCTGCTGAAAGTAGTAGTAGGTCTAACCAACTGCTCAGCTATTGAATCTTCTGGCAACATAAACAACCGTAGTTTGAATCGCAACATAGCTGCCTTTGCATATAGGAAATTATTGTTGGTGTCTCCATGTTACTGTAAGACTGCTAGAAACTCTGCAAAGTTGTGTTTTTACGTTGCATGTGACCTTTAAGTATTGTAACCCTCTACACCCATAATGTCTGTTCATCAGTGAATGGAAGCGATTGACGGACAGCATATCCCTAATTCACCACAGCGTCATGGAAGTATGGGGTTAGAGATACACGACGTTTGATCAATCTTACAGTGCACAATAACCATGAGGGTTTACTTATGAATTATAGTGGTGTGGGGTAGCTTCATGGTTTAAGCGTTCGTAGGTCACGCTGAAGGCCCGTTTTCGATTTCCCACATGCGTACAATGTGTGAAGCCCTTTTCTGGTGTCCCCCGACGTAATATTGATGGGATATTGTTAAAAGCGGCATAAAACCCAACTCCTGAAGAATAATAGTCAGAAGTTGATCTTTAGACAATCAGGAGGTGCTTGGTTCCTTTCAAGCTGACAAATGTCCCGCGGGTTTAACAAGAATGCGTCATGTTCAGTCATAATTCAACTGAAGACGACAATTTATCCATAGCAAAGGTTGAAAAATACAGACGGTGCAATAGAGTGAAAAGAAACGAATTTCACATATTTAAGACACTAGAGAAAGCATGCATAAAATCACCAGAAAATAATCCACAACATCGTTTCTGTTTGATTTCAATCTACAATCGCTGCATCTTATAAATTTCTCGAGCACAAACGAAAAAAAGCAACTAATTTGTTATAATTATTTCTGTAAAACATTTGAACAAAGAAGAAAGAAAACGTTTTGTCATTAAGAGCAAAACTCTCACTTGGTGAGAAACTGATGCTAACACGTTGAGCGAAGCGGAGTTGTGTCCCTTCACACCAGTGGCTAGTTTGTTTCGTGTACCACATCACCGAAAACGAAACGCGGAATGCAATGGTCGAGCAGTCACATCCAAATATGGGCAAAATATCACAATCTGTAGTAGAAATGGCACAGACAATCGTCAAGTGAACTGTTAAAACGTTCAGTAACAATCACACCCCTGTTCATAGAATGGACTCGTCGGACAGTACCGCGAAATGTTTTTTACATCCTTGGGAAGGTTGTCAATAATGTTAATATATCAAGAAAACTACGACTCATTGTTGTGTGCCGTACAGTAAAACGCTGAAGTGAGAATCGCTGCGCCGCTCACAATATTTTCCACCTGATGTCGTTTATTGTACAATGGACAACTCGCTTAGTTCTTGAGGATCTATGCGTGCGTGTGCATGCGAGAGTGTGTGTTTTCGTAATATTTCATTAGTTTCAACTTTGACTCACATAGCATTGACCTAAGGGTCCGTTCATAATTTAAGGCTTGGTGCGTGCTCCCATGTGTGTGTGTGTGTGTGTGAGAGAGAGAGAGAGATACAGAGATGATGATGTCCCTGAGCTGCTATGGATGTTATCTTGACTTGCTCCTGAAATTCCGATCTTCAGCATTTTTGAAGATGACCCGGATGAGTGGGTGATTACAGACACGTTGAGAAGGAATAGACATGTTCAATGTGGATGACACCCACCCACAACCCTATAGGTTATGTACAAAGTAAGCGACCCCTAGTGTGTCATGTACAATATCAATACCGCCCCACCCCCACCCCACCCCAATTTTTTTTTTTTTAAGCATAATGTTCTATGAACAAAATTGCTGACTGCTTGTGTACAAAATTGATGAGCCTCGCTAACTCCCTAGAACAAAATGGGCGACTCCCCCCACACCGCCATAAATTATGAACGGTGAGGATTGATGAAGAACTGCAATAAACGCCGAGACCAATATAACACTGAAGATTATAATGTAACCAACAGTGCAAACTCATTTCTTGAAGCAGAACTGGAGGGGTAGCGATAATACCGGTTAACCGAACTTCACAAGACGATATATCGCGGTAGCTACACTTTTCGCGAACCGGTTCACCTGATACGATCGTTAATTTTCGTGTTGTATAGTCAAAACTACTAAAACATTTGTATTTCCTTGATATTATTATACATTAATAGTTTTGAATGATTATTGGTCACATAATGGCATTTCCCTGGCTTTTAAACCATATAAGAAAAGAGTAGATTGGTAACGGCACTCGTTGTGACGATAAACAAACCAAAATGGCGGACGCCGCTGCAGAGGCTTTTTTCGAGTTCCGAACTTTAGAGCGAAATCAACGCAACACAAGAAATCAACGCAATGAACTTGTGGCATTTACAAGTGATGATCTGTGTTTGGTCAGTGGCCGATCACTTACAGGAGATATACTTTAAAAATCTAAAATCACATCTTTTGTTAAACGTAAAAAGAAATATGTTGAAGAATATTTTTTCTTATGTCAACATTTGTAGCCAAAAACATGATAAAACCACTCGTGTACCGGACACTACCAAGAGTTAAATTAATGAGCAGAGTTTGGCATCACGTGACATGACGTCATAGTAGGGATTTTTGATTTGAAAGATTTCTCAACTGGGTGTATCGGTCCAAGCCCTGATCAAGTCAGTTGTTAGGAAGAAGAAGAAAAATAGTTTATTATTGTGTCACATGCTAATAAGCAGTACATGATGACACGATTAAAACGTTTACATGGCATCCGGACATTAGGCCTATGAGACACATATAAAACACAGTACAACATTTAGGATTGATAAAACTGTATATTGCACATACATCACACATGCAACATCATACCGATTCTTGCACATACATACGTACATTCATGCATGCATCAGTTAGGGTGTGCAGCTCTTTGTGTTGTTCCCGAAGACGGGTCGCAGTTAGGATGTTCGTGCACGGGCATGCTGTCAAACGTCCTTATCGACTGATCCACTTATGCTATTATAACGTTGACTTCGAAAATATTATTCGTATTATGTGAAACAACGGTTCTGTGTTTATTCGTGCTAAGTCTAGAACGCTGTCTTGACTTTGTATCGTTCGTACTAGGGCTGTAACGATGCATCGACCTATCGATGGATTGCAGTTGTTGAGTCTCCGATAGCAATTAATCGATGGTCGAAACGAAAAACTATCGATGCATTGATAGTATGTGTGACTATCGATAGTTTAGTAATTGACTTCCGTTGATAAATGTGCGGCGTAAAATACAGAAAGTACCAGATTCGTTCACTTTGATTTATTATCCGCCCGTTACCTCTCAAATAAACTTGACTGTTTAGTTGATCTAGGTTTCAAGTTTCTTGTCAATTATTAAAAGAGACTGAAACTACTTTAGCTTGTTTATATTTCGTATAAACTGTACATTCATTTGGGAAATGACTTCAAATGAGACAATTCAAGGAGAAAAAAAAAATTGCAAGTAGTTGGTCGCAATAGACTATCGCTATAGCCTTAGTTGTTTCCTCCTCCCCTAGTTCGTACAGTTATAACTGCACGTTTGGTAGTCATGAGACTTGCCTTTCGTCCAAAGGAGTGGTGAGTTTAGTTTTACGCCGCTTTTAGCAATATTCTAGCAATATCACGGCGGGGGACACCAGAAATGGGCTTCACACATTGTGCCCATGTGAGGAATCGAACCCTGGTCTTCGGCATGATGAGCGAACGCCTTTACCACTGGGCTACCCCACCGCTCCTTCGTCCAAAGGAAATAACCGTGCACCCTATTAAATGACCACCATAGTTTGACATTACTGAAGCAGCTGTTACAAAACTCGATGTAAAATACGCTTGGGTTGCTGTCATATATAGCTTACATATTGTCGAATGAGGCGTTTTGACGGCGGCCTGTAAATCAACACGACTGTTCCAGACAAATCAGCCATTTATTAGTTTTGTTTGTTTCTAGTAACACGTCACACCCAAGATTATAAGGGACCGTTCATAATTTATGGCTAGGGGTGGTGATGATTTTAAATGTGTGTGTGTGTGACCCATTATGTTCTGGGGAAGGGGGTTGTCATTAATTCCGTGCACATGTACTAGGGGGTGGGGTGTCATCAATTTCGTACATAAATTTATATTTAAAAATATGCTTCAAAATTATGGGAAGGGGAGGGGGTCATTGATATTGTACATGATATGAGGGGGGGGGGGGGGTCCACCAAGTCGTCGTGGTCAAGTAAGTCGGCGAGTTGACCACAAGACCCAACAAATCTCCTAGTACAACGTGCAACCATAGGTTTCTGGCCATCAATTTCAACCCCGAATCCTCAGTGTGTTGTTTGGTCTCAGGTATTTCAACTCCATCGTCAGCATAAGACTAAGTATGGCGGCTGTCATGTAGCCATATTACTTTAAGCCGTACGTATCACGGCTTGGTATATCTGCAATCTTGTAATCTTGGGAACCAATAAAAAAAAATAAAAGTAAAAAAAAAATAAAATAAAAGTATGGCGGCTGTCTGTAAACAATAGTGTGTGGTGCAGACACACCCGTGATAAACGTAAGCTCAGTGATGACTGTAAGATGTGGCATCACATTTTGTTTCATCGTCAAAAATAACTTCAGCATAAAGTATCCTTGATTAGAAGAATTTTCATTGAAATTTGTTTATTTTACAACCCAAACCGATGAGAAGAAACAAGTTTCAATTTCCACATTAAAACCCAGGATAAGTGTCCCGTACACACACTATGATATCCCTTTGTAGGACCTGCTCACAATATATCGTAAAACTTACTCGAATAATATACTATCTGACGCATGGTCACTCACTCAGGGCACCTAGATATAATAACTGTATATAATTTCAATGGAAACAAATAACTCTAAATAGATGGAAAAGGAGCCCCAGTGAGCTAGGATATTCAGAGGAAATCTAGACTTGCTTCATTTAGTGGTTTTACATTGAAGAAAGGTATGTGGGCGTAAGCAAATAAAATAAAGACTGTGACACAGACTATGGGTCACGCATCGTTCACTCGTGACAAGGCTGTGCTGACAAAGCATAAGTAAGAGGTAACATTTTCCTTCTTCACCGGTGACTCAAGAAGCTGTCGGCTCGCGCGCTCCTCTGTTTGTCCGATTGTTTTCCCTGTAACAACTGGACAATGACGTTCCTGGACACCATATCTTCTAACTCCGCATCAGGGATATTCCTCACTCTAGCAGCTGGGGCAGCGTTAAAATACGCCATCGGTTATTGGGTTCAATACAACCGTCGGAATCAACTGAGACGGGTCGGAACGGTGGCAGCTCTATATGTCTACCCTGTGAAATCCTTCCGGGGACTGAGTGTTACACAGGCTGACTGCACACGCTTAGGGCTCATGTACAAGGGTCTAACCGACAGGTATATTTCTACACATGTCTTTCATGTAACTGATATTGTTTACGCTGTGTAAATATTTAATCGCAAATTATTTTACTCTGAGTCGGGTTCGGGTAAATAGGTCATGGCCTGTGGTGCTGTTATTTATTCCCTGTCACGTCAAGGGCTCTCTGTTCATTTCACGAACAGGCATGACCTTTTTATAAGGTTTAGTATAGTATGGTTGTCAAGGGGAACGGCGAATGCCAAGTCATAAAGGCCCATGGGAACGCACACTTTATTGAAACAGTTGTACAGTCATGAAACGAACATTGATCAAACATTCACAACGCTCTAATTCACATTTGTTATGGTAGATAATATTATCTACCTATTCATACACGTTCCGGGGCACTAATGTTTTGTTCAATGATTATTTGTTTTAGAAAATAGTGACTCATGGTTGATGGGGATTATACATTCAGTGTATTACGTCAGACATCTTCATGATAATGATAAATGACACAGTGTAAATATGATACTCTGGTTAATCGAGGTTAGGCTGCTGGAAATCCATATTTCATCGCTTGCCTGGGGGTAAATGGTGCATTGAAACATTTGTTTTCAAATAAAAGGAAACACATTACTGATGAAAGAGTTTATCAGATGTGTGAAAGTTTAGCGTCATTAGATGTCAAATAAGCAGAATTCGTTGTGTCCGGACAACCCTAGACTTGCACAAGTCTCTAAGGTAATAATTTATAGTTTAAATGATAATTTCTAAACAATATGAATATTCCTGTAACAGATTGGTCTAACGGACTGGCATCCTTACTGTCCGCTTATCTAGATTTGCCTCGATGGAGGACTGAATTACTATACATCCCAGGCTCGGATACACCTTTTTGAGAAAGGTGGCAACACAGTTCATTTTCACCCGTTTTCACGAGAGTTTCAATGGTCATTTAATAAACCATCATGACGAAAGAGGTTGGGGGTGGGGGTGCCTATGCATCCATGGGCTCAGCATTGAGTACAACCTTGAAGCAAGGCTAGGACAACCCCAGCGTGGCTTGCCAGTTGTTCCTACAGATTTTACCTGAAAGTCTGGGAGCTCATTCTATCAATCACTGGGTGTTTGACCAAAACTCAAGTGTGACATGAATCACTGGGTGTTTGACCCAAACTCAAGTGTGACATGTCGCCGTGAACAGCTTTAATGTTTCTGTCTTCGGGGTAAAACGTCGTACACTCATGCACTGAAATATCGTATTGAGGATGACGACTCGCCTCTATTCTCGCAGCCTCTGGTCAGTTTGCTTTTATTCCAGGCACTGGGCAGTGTCCGATGACAAAAAATGTGTACTTAACACAGCGCCAGCTGCCCTCCATGGCTCTGATTGAGCCAAGCATTCATGGCGACATAATGCACCTGGACGCACCGGGGATGTCAACGCTTAAAGTACCCCTGAACCCACGGGTTACGCCTGATATGGTCAAGAAAATCACGTGAAGTAAGCTGATATGGGTGTTGTTGTTTGTGGTAGTTGGGGAGGTGACTTTGAGGGTGGGGATGCGGGGTGGCTGTGAGGGTGGAGATGGGGGATGGGTGGATACGAGGGGAATGAATGACTGAATATGGCTTTATGCCGCATCAGCAATTTTCCAGCTATTCACGGAGAGATATGTATAGTATGTTAGACTTAAAAGGCGACTATGCTTATCGTAAGAGGCGACTAACGGGATCGGGTGGTCAGGCTCGCTGACTTGGTTGACACATGTCATCGGTTCCCAATTGCGCAGATCGATGCTCATGCTGTTGATCACTGGATTGTCTGGTCCAGACTCGATTATTTACAGACCGCCGTCATATCGCTGGAATATTGCTGAGTGCGGCGTAAAACTAAACTCACTCACTCACTATACGTTTGTTCAGCGTAAAGACGGATACCATAGATTCCTTAGACTGTGGTCCCGAGGCTGCCCAGTGGTTGTGTAAGTACTTCAACAGGGACGGCCTTACACTCCGGTTTTCTGCGCCCACCCTTGAGAAGAGAGACTCCTACAATGCCCAGAAGTTATGGAACCATCCGGCGTTAGTGGGAGATCTGGTGAGTTGGCTTCCGTCTGCAGTACAGAGTCTACTGAAAACCTGGCCTGTTGGATTTTGTTTAAGAGTTTCGGTCAGTTTGAGATATGTCGATTTGTGCTTAGTTTGGATATTTTGGATAGTGGGTGTTAATTTCAAATCGGTCGAGCTGTGATTAGTTTGGAGATCTGGGCCTCCTTTCACAAAGCACTAAGGTGATCTTAAGTCACTAAGGTAACCTTAGTGCAATGTTAAAGAATGGGAGTTAAGGCTAACCTTAGTAAAGGTTGCTTCGTGAAAGGAGCCCCTGGTTAGTAGAGGTCAGTTGGAGATCTGTCGAGCCACAGTGTGCTTAGTTTGGAGATCTGTCAGTTGGAGTTCTGGAGATTTGGTTATCGAGTGCTAAGGATCTCCAGATCACAACCCATCTATTGTAGGTTGTACATGACAAACATAGTCATTGAAATATAATTTTTCTATATCTATTTTAAAAAATATCTATTCGTAGAGATCAAATTAATTTTTATCGGAATTCATGATTTCACGTGTTTTATTTTCGATGTGACTTTAAGGACGGTCTTTCTCGATGTATTCCAGACAGCGTTGTCAGACTACTGTTCCTATATGATTCTCTCGAACGCTTCCTTGAGAGAACTCAACACCAGGACTGGCTAAACCAGTGCCAATCCTCAACTTCAGAGCCAACATAATCGTGGACGACTGTGAATCCTTTGCAGAGGTACTTTGGACCTTAATATACTATTTACTCTTGACATACTGACATTGAAAGATGTCCCACGGGACTTTCTTGTTTCCCAAGTTTCCTTCAGATAATAAGTTTCCTTCATTATATGATAATAGACACCCTGGACCCCTGATTGCTCAGAGTAACATATCTTCATTATGGTGATAGACACCCTGGACCCCTGATTGCTCAGAGTAACATATCTTCATTATGATGATAGACACCCTGGACCCCTGATTGCTCAGAGTAACATATCTTCATTATGGTGATAGACACCCTGGACCCCTGATTGCTCAGAGTAACATATCTTCATTATGATAATAGACACCCTGGACCCCTGATTGCTCAGAGTAACATATCTTCATTATGATAATAGACACCCTGGACCCCTGATTGCTCAGAGTAACATATCTTCATTATGATAATAGACACCCTGGACCCCTGATTGCTCAGAGTAACATATCTTCATTATGGTGATAGACACCCTGGACCCCTGATTGCTCAGAGTAACATATCTTCATTATGATAATAGACACCCTGGACCCCTGATTGCTCAGAGTAACATATCTTCATTATGATAATAGACACCCTGGACCCCTGATTGCTCAGAGTAACATATCTTCATTATGGTGATAGACACCTGGACCCCTGATTGCTCAGAGTAACATATCTTCATTATGATAATAGACACCCTGGACCCCTGATTGCTCAGAGTAACATACCTTCATTATGATGATAGACACCCTGGACCCCCCAGAGTAACATATCTTGATTGCTCAGAGTAACATATCTTCATTATGATAATAGACACCCTGGACCCCTGATTGCTCAGAGTAACATACCTTCATTATGATGATAGACACCCTGGACCCCTGATTGCTCAGAGTAACATATCTTCATTATGATAATAGACACCCTGGACCCCTGATTGCTCAGAGAGTAACATATCTTCATTATGGTGATAGACACCCTGGACCCCTGATTGCTCAGAGTAACATATCTTCATTATGATAATAGACACCCTGGACCCCTGATTGCTCAGAGTAACATACCTTCATAATGGTGATAGACACCCTGGACCCCTGATTGCTCAGAGTAACATATCTTCATTATGATAATAGACACCCTGGACCCCTGATTGCTCAGAGTAACATATCTTCATTATGATAATAGACACCCTGGACCCCTGATTGCTCAGAGTAACATATCTTCATTATGATAATAGACACCCTGGACCCCTGATTGCTCAGAGTAACATATCTTCATTATGGTGATAGACACCCTGGACCCCTGATTGCTCAGAGTAACATATCTTCATTATGATAATAGACACCCTGGACCCCTGATTGCTCAGAGTAACATATCTTCATTATGATAATAGACACCCTGGACCCCTGATTGCTCAGAGTAACATATCTTCATTATGGTGATAGACACCCTGGACCCCTGATTGCTCAGAGTAACATATCTTCATTATGATAATAGACACCCTGGACCCCTGATTGCTCAGAGTAACATACCTTCATTATGATGATAGACACCCTGGACCCCTGATTGCTCAGAGTAACATATCTTCATTATGATAATAGACACCCTGGACCCCTGATTGCTCAGAGTAACATATCTTCATTATGATAATAGACACCCTGGATCTTCCCCTGATTGCTCAGAGTAACATATCTTCATTATGATAATAGACACCCTGGACCCCTGATTGCTCAGAGTAACATATCTTCATTATGATAATAGACACCCTGGACCCCTGATTGCTCAGAGTAACATATCTTCATTATGATAATAGACACCCTGGACCCCTGATTGCTCAGAGTAACATACCTTCATTATGATAATAGACACCCTGGACCCCTGATTGCTCAGAGTAACATATCTTCATTATGGTGATAGACACCCTGGACCCCTGATTGCTCAGAGTAACATACCTTCATTATGATAATAGACACCCTGGACCCCTGATTGCTCAGAGTAACATACCTTCATTATGGTGATAGACACCCTGGACCCCTGATTGCTCAGAGTAACATATCTTCATTATGATGATAGACACCCTGGACCCCTGATTGCTCAGAGTAACATATCTTCATTATGATAATAGACACCCTGGACCCCTGATTGCTCAGAGTAACATATCTTCATTATGATAATAGACACCCTGGACCCCTGATTGCTCAGAGTAACATATCTTCATTATGATAATAGACACCCTGGACCCCTGATTGCTCAGAGTAACATATCTTCATTATGATAATAGACACCCTGGACCCCTGATTGCTCAGAGTAACATACCTTCATTATGGTGATAGACACCCTGGACCCCTGATTGCTCAGAGTAACATATCTTCATTATGATAATAGACACCCTGGACCCCTGATTGCTCAGAGTAACATACCTTCATTATGATGATAGACACCCTGGACCCCTGATTGCTCAGAGTAACATGCCTTCATTATGATGATAGACACCCTGGACCCCTGATTGCTCAGAGTAACATATCTTCATTATGGTGATAGACACCCTGGACCCTGATTGCTCAGAGTAACATATCTTCATTATGGTGATAGACACCCTGGACCCCTGATTGCTCAGAGTAACATATCTTCATTATGATGATAGACACCCTGGACCCCTGATTGCTCAGAGTAACATATCTTCATTATGGTGATAGACACCCTGGACCCCTGATTGCTCAGAGTAACATACCTTCATTATGATGATAGACACCCTGGACCCCTGATTGCTCAGAGTAACATATCTTCATTATGATGATAGACACCCTGGACCCCTGATTGCTCAGAGTAACATATCTTCATTATGGTGATAGACACCCTGGACCCTGATTGCTCAGAGTAACATATCTTCATTATGATAATAGACACCCTGGACCCCTGATTGCTCAGAGTAACATATCTTCATTATGATGATAGACACCCTGGACCCCTGATTGCTCAGAGTAACATACCTTCATTATGGTGATAGACACCCTGGACCCCTGATTGCTCAGAGTAACATACCTTCATTATGGTGATAGACACCCTGGACCCCTGATTGCTCAGAGTAACATATCTTCATTATGATAATAGACACCCTGGACCCCTGATTGCTCAGAGTAACATACCTTCATTATGGTGATAGACACCCTGGACCCCTGATTGCTCAGAGTAACATATCTTCATTATGGTGATAGACACCCTGGACCCCTGATTGCTCAGAGTAACATACCTTCATTATGGTGATAGACACCCTGGACCCCTGATTGCTCAGAGTAACATATCTTCATTATGATAATAGACACCCTGGACCCCTGATTGCTCAGAGTAACATATCTTCATTATGGTGATAGACACCCTGGACCCCTGATTGCTCAGAGTAACATATCTTCATTATGGTGATAGACACCCTGGACCCCTGATTGCTCAGAGTAACATACCTTCATTATGATGATAGACACCCTGGACCCCTGATTGCTCAGAGTAACATATCTTCATTATGGTGATAGACACCCTGGACCCCTGATTGCTCAGAGTAACATATCTTCATTATGGTGATAGACACCCTGGACCCCTGATTGCTCAGAGTAACATATCTTCATTATGATAATAGACACCCTGGACCCCTGATTGCTCAGAGTAACATATCTTCATTATGGTGATAGACACCCTGGACCCCTGATTGCTCAGAGTAACATATCTTCATTATGGTGATAGACACCCTGGACCCCTGATTGCTCAGAGTAACATATCTTCATTATGATAATAGACACCCTGGACCCCTGATTGCTCAGAGTAACATACCTTCATAATGGTGATAGACACCCTGGACCCCAGATTGCTCAGAGTAACATATCTTCATTATGGTGATAGACACCCTGGACCCCTGATTGCTCAGAGTAACATACCTTCATTATGATAATAGACACCCTGGACCCCTGATTGCTCAGAGTAACATATCTTTCATTATGATAATAGACACCCTGGACCCCTGATTGCTCAGAGTAACATATCTTCATTATGATAATAGACACCCTGGACCCTGGACCCCTGATTGCTCAGAGTAACATATCTTCATTATGATAATAGACACCCTGGACCCCTGATTGCTCAGAGTAACATACCTTCATTATGGTGATAGACACCCTGGACCCCTGATTGCTCAGAGTAACATACCTTCATTATGGTGATAGACACCCTGGACCCCTGATTGCTCAGAGTAACATATCTTCATTATGATGATAGACACCCTGGACCCCTGATTGCTCAGAGTAACATACCTTCATTATGGTGATAGACACCTTGGACCCCAGATTGCTCAGAGTAACATATCTTCATTATGATGATAGACACCCTGGACCCCTGATTGCTCAGAGTAACATATCTTCATTATGGTGATAGACACCCTGGACCCCAGATTGCTCAGAGTAACATATCTTCATTATGGTGATAGACACCCTGGACCCCTGATTGCTCAGAGTAACATGTCTTCATTATGGTGATAGACACCCTGGACCCCTGATTGCTCAGAGTAACATACCTTCATTATGGTGATAGACACCCTGGACCCCAGATTGCTCAGAGTAACATATCTTCATTATGGTGATAGACACCCTGGACCCCTGATTGCTGAGAGTAACATATCTTCACTATGGTGATAGACACCCTGGACTTCTGATTGCTCAGAGTAACATATCTTCATTATGATAATAGACACCCTTGACCCCTGATTGCTCAGAGTAACATATCTTCATACTGGTGATAGACACCCTGGACCCCTGATTGCTCAGAGTAACATGCCTTCATTATGGTGATAGACACCCTGGACTTCTGATTGCTCAGAGTAACACGCCTTCATTATGGTGATAGACATCCTGGACCCCTGATTGCTCAGAGTAACATATCTTCATTATGGTGATAGACACCCTGGACTTCTGATTGCTCAGAGTAACACGCCTTCATTATGGTGATAGACACCTTGGACCCCTGATTGCTCAGAGTAACATATCTTGATTATGGTGATAGACGCCCTGGACCCCTGATTACTAAGAGTAACATGCCTTCATTATGGTGATAGACACCTTGGACCCCAGATTGCTCAGAGTAACATATCTTCATTATGGTGATAGACACCCTGGACCCCTGATTGCTCAGAGTAACATATCTTCATTATGGTGATAGACACCCTGGACCCCAGATTGCTCAGAGTAACATGTCTTCATTTTGGTGATAGACACCCTGGACCCCTGATTGCTCAGAGTAACATACCTTCATTATGGTGATAGACACCTTGGACCCCAGATTGCCCAGAGTAACATATCTTCATTATGGTGATAGACACCCTGGACCCCTGATTGCTGAGAGTAACATATCTTCACTATGGTGATAGACACCCTGGACTTCTGATTGCTCAGAGTAACATATCTTCATTATGATAATAGACACCCTTGACCCCTGATTGCTCAGAGTAACATATCTTCATAATGGTGATAGACACCCTGGACCCCTGATTGCTCAGAGTAACATGCCTTCATTCTGGTGATAGACACCCTGGACCCCTGATTGCTCAGAGTAACATACCTTCATTATGATAATAGACACCCTGGACCCCTGATTGCTCAGAGTAACATATCTTCATTATGGTGATAGACACCCTGGACCCCTGATTGCTCAGAGTAACATATCTTCATTATGATTATAGACACCCTGGACCCCTGACTGCTAAGAGTAACATACCTGCATAATGGTAATAGACACCCTGGACTTCTGATTGCTCAGAGTAACATATCTTCATTATGATTATAGACACCCTGGACCCCTGATTGCTCAGAGTAACATACCTGCATAATGGTGATAGACACCCTGGACCCCAGATTGCTCAGAGTAACATGCCTTCATTATGGTGATAGACACCCTGGACTTCTGATTGCTCAGAGTAACACACCTTCATTATGGTGATAGACACCCTTGACTTCTGATTGCTCAGAGTAACATATCTTCATTATGATTATAGACAGCCTGGACCCCTGATTGCTCAGAGTAACATATCTTCATTATGATAATAGACACCCTGGACCCCTGATTGCTCAGAGTAACACGCCTTCATTATGATAATAGACACCCTGGACCCCTGATTGCTAAGAGTAACACGCCTTCATTATGGTGATAGACACCCTGGACTTCTGATTGCTCAGAGTAACATATCTTCATTATGATAATAGACACCCTGGACCCCTGATTGCTCAGAGTAACACGCCTTCAATATGATAATAGACACCCTGGACCCCTGATTGCTCAGAGTAACACGCCTTCATTATGGTGATAGACACCCTGGACTTCTGATTGCTCAGAGTAACACGCCTTCATTATGGTGATAGACACCCTGGACTTCTGATTGCTCAGAGTAACATATCTTCATTATGGTGATAGACACCCTGGACCCCTGATTGCTCAGAGTAACATATCTTCATAATGGTGATAGACACCCTGATTGCTCAGAGTAACATGCCTTCATTATGGGGATAGACACCCTGGACTCCTGATTGCTCAGAGTAACACGCCTTCATTATGGTGATAGACACCCTGGACTTCTGATTGCTCAGATTATCTTCAGAGTAGACACATGGACCCCTGATTCATTATCTGATTAATAGACACCCTGGACCCCTGATTGCTCAGAGTAACATATCTTCATTATGGTGATAGACACCCTGGACCCCTGATTGCTCAGAGTAACATATCTTTATTATGATAATAGACACCCTGGACCCCTGATTGCTCAGAGTAACATATCTTCATTATGATAATAGACACCCTGGACCTCTGATTGCTCAGAATAACATATCTTCATTATGGTGATAGACACCCTGGACCCCTTATTGCTCAGAGTAACATATCCTTATTATGATAATAGACACCCTGGACCCCTGATTGCTCAGAGTAACATATCTTCATTATGGTGATAGACACCCTGGACCCCTGATTGCTCAGAGTAACATATCTTCATTATGGTGATAGACACCCTGGACTCCAGATTGCCCAGAGTAACATATCTTCATTATGATGATAGACACCCTGGACCCCAGATTGCCCAGAGTAACATATCTTCATTATGGTGATAGACACCCTGGACCCCAGATTGCCCAGAGTAACATATCTTCATTATGGTGATAGACACCCTGGACCCCAGATTGCTCAGAGTAACATATCTTCATTATGGTGATAGACACCCTGGACCCCAGATTGCCCAGAGTAACATATCTTCATTATGGTGATAGACACCCTGGACCCCAGATTGCCCAGAGTAACATATCTTCATTATGGTGATAGACACCATGGACCCCAGATTGCTCAAAGTAACATACCTTCATTATGATAATATATGTTGACATCAGTTGTGTATCTGGAATACTGTTCAAGTTACGGCCAACCGAGCTAACTCACTCCCTATAATGCACTGTATAGTCAAACATTGTATAGTGATGACTCAAGGGTTAACCCTGTTCCCGAACTTCCCACTGCTATTGTAATGACAATGAAATATCTGCAACAGGATGACTGGAAGGAGGTACGCATTGGTCAAGCTGCACTTCGGACGCTGGACGCCTGCACGCGCTGTATTCTGACAACTGTTGACCAACTGAAAGGTGTCAAAGACAAAGACGAAGAACCTCTTAAAACGCTGAGAACGTGAGTCACGAGCTCTCTGTGGTCAACGTAACGTTCCCTATTTGAAACATAGGGTCCTCGATATTGAGCTGATACTTCATTATGTACATGTTTAAAAGTAGCGATAACATGAAAACAATGATGAATAGCAGTATTATACATAAACGCTGTATTCAAGTCGCATTTGCCTTGCACATATTATTGTGGCTCTTTTAGAGAACCTAGAGGGAAGTAGAGTTGTTAACATGGAACTGAAAGCGGAGCGATGCATCATGTTTTTGGTCAGAAAATTGAGGTCCAGTTAGTCTGTCTCACAGTCCCTGAACCACATGATTTCCCCTTCGAGATCTGCTCAGCCCTCCCTGCAATGCTAACGCCCCAAATGAAGCAAGTCTAGATTTCCTCAGGTTTTAATTCTCCCTTCTTCCTGGGGCCCCTTTTCAATTCAAAAGGAATTGTTTGTTTCTATCAAAGTGTAATGTATTCAGAGACTAAGCATTAATAGGGTTAGTCTAAGGTCCAGTCTTTTTGTGTTTCAGATTCCGTAAGAAGGAGCCCTATGGGGTGAAACCGGCCTTTGGTGTGAACGCAACGTACATCGCGTCAGGCGTGGTCCGGGTTGGGGATCCGATATACGCTCTTTAGATTTATGTTTCCATGTCAAAGGATGTTTATCTAACATCCGGACAAAACAGGACTATGCAAACCATACCAATAGAACAACCGATACATGTCCTTTCACGCTTATAGTTTGGGCCGAATATACTACCAACAAAGATATGGAGACTGATGATAGTGAAAGTGTAATGACCATCAATGTATGCAACATGTAGACGTGTAGATCCATTCCTGCTAATAATTCTAGCAGGAGACATAATTTCGTCAACATACCGCTTGATAGTGAAATGTACATCCACACTAATCGTGTCAGTTCGCCTGTCATGTGTGATATCGCCCCACACCATTGCACTATCGCCGGCATTCCGATCTTGGCCAAATACTGTTGTCCTTGATGTTGCTCGTTGCTACGTCGCCAACAACGTTTTCTGCCATCTGTGAATAGGTAAAAACATCCCTTCCCTTTAACAGAACTGTTCTCACTTTCGAGAATCTACACTTTCTTTTTTCCCGAACGACCCGTGAAGATCCGGGTTAGAATAGGTCTTCAGCAACCCATGCTTGTCGTAAGAGGCGACTAACGGGATCGAGTGGTCAAGCTCGCTGACTTGGTTGATACATGTCATCGTATCGGACTTGTATAGATCGATGCTCATGCTGTCAGTCACTGGACTGTCTGATCCAGACTATTTATAGACTGTACTCATGTACCTGGAAGATTGTTATGTGCGGCGTTAAACAACAAAGATATACTGTCTCGGAGGCATTTTAAGCCTTTCATTGTTCCCCAACGGGTGTCCATACTTTGAATTCTGTCTGCACATACATCACACGCTGTTCAGGAATGATGATATTTCATTGTGATTAGATGGTGCGTTCAGCTGTCCCGGTATTGTAAATGTACATTAACAACAACTACATTTCAATGATTTGTTGCCTTAGTTTTTGTTGGTAGTATATAGCTGCAACTGCCTATTGTGTATTGTTAGCTGTTATAGGTCTCTACTGTCCTGCTCCTCATTTCGTTAGAAACACATACTGTCAGATTTATAGCCCTCTTCTAAATCTGTGATATATTGCCGTATTAAACAATTTTACCTGTCCTTCGCTTAGTGTATAATGATTCTTGTGGACGCCATTTTGTTTTACAAAACCGGAATGAGGTTTCGTTTAAGAATCCTTGTTAACGTCAGCTTTCTATGAAATGTACGTCTCAGGTGATGACCACCTCAGCCAAGTAGTGACAAGTAGATCAGATTTACAATGGACAAATGATGATGGGGTGTGTGTGTGTGTTTGTGTGTGTGTGTGTGTTTAGGGTGTGTGCGGCTACGTCTTGACTGTTCTTGAGTCTGCTTGGCGTCACTGAGATCTGCAGCCTGATTTACCCTTCTCCACAAGCCACCTTTATTTACAACCACAGATTTTAGTTACCGAGTTCAGTTCCAACGATGGTACAATCACTCAACTAATAACGACAGGTGACAACAATGGAAGTCTCGTACTCGGTGTATCAAACCTGCTGTCCTTCATGAGACATTCTCGACTGTGTATTCCCTGGACACATTCGCTACTATAGCTACGCTTTGCGACGTTTTTCTCCGTCCAATCATAAACACTCATGAATGAAAAATGTGATATGCGAAAAATTAGAGACTACGATCTCGTGAGAGAGACTGACAACATTGTATGAAAGCAGAAGCGAATGAGTCCAGGGTGTTATATCGTATCAGAATGGTGATATAGCGCCGTGGACGACCGAGGATGCTCACAAGGAGGTACACACAGAACCGCTTGGGGTGAGAACAGCTGGAAGTGGAACTACTGTCTGTACCCCATCGGCCGACCCACAGTCCAAGTGCCTCGTCTGAAATGCCTGGTCTGAAATTCTGGCGGCATATTGACATCATGGACAGAGATACGGACCAATATATGAATTCTTATTATGTACTAAATTACATTTAAGCAGATGTGACCATGTTTATTCCATTTTGATGAAGTCTCATTTATCAATAATTTATTTAATAATTAATCAAATATTTAATAATTAATCAATATTTTGATTCTTTGATATGCTGTTCAATGCTTGGTTCTAAGCAAATGATATTTGATATTTGTTATTCATATAACTTCTTTCAAATAATATATCATTTCTGTTATATTACTTATCTTGTGTGATTTCATTTTTACATGTTTTTATATATATTTCGAATCTTTGATGTGATTTTTGTTGTTGCTATGGACCAGCTGATGATTTACTCCAGCTTCACCACCTACAATACCTCTTAATCGATGAATCCCAATATTTCCGCTGAAAGTCTTCTTTCCGTTATATATACAGATACATATTAAGGAGACCAACGATGTTTATTGATATTTGGTAGTCACAATATGAACTTTTTTTCCCAAACTCTACACGGAATGTACATTTTGAGTTGAATCGAGAATGTGTTCACATTCCTATGTCTTGATTTTATTAAAGGATCACTGAGGTCAATCGCTCAAAGTGGACTTGCTTCATTTTTTGTTTTGAAAGGTGACGTGGCCGGAATTTGGTGACATTGTACTGACCGTGGAAAGAAAGGTGCATACCCCGGATGTCATATGCATGTATTCACGATATGAGACTGACTGGGCTGCAGGCACTCCCTCAAGGTGTTATATACACTTATATACACGGTATAGCACTTGTGGCGCTAAACTTGTGCACCCCTAGTGTTGTATACGTGTACACGAGCACTGATGACGCTGATATGGCACTAATTGCGCTAAAAGTACTGCCTCAAGGTGTTATATACACGTATTGTCGGTATAGCACTCGTGGCGCTAAACTTGCGCACCCTTCGTGTTATATAGGGGTATACACGAGCACTGATGACGCTGATATGGCACTAATATGACGCTGAAGGACTGCAACCCGGAAGCAATGGACGGAAACACGGTATGGTAATAAAGGTACACCCTTGAGTATCATATACATGTATTCACGGGGCTAAACTTGCACACCCCTCGTGTTACATACGTGTTTAGACGAGAACTGATGCCGCTGATATGGCACTTATGACATTAATGGACTCCAAACCGGAAGTAAAGGACGACAACACGGCACTAATGGCAATAAAGGTACGCCGTGGGATATCATATACATGTATTCATGGTATAGCACTAATGGCCGTAAGGTACGCACAAGGTTGTTATGTACATGGATACATGATGTAGCACGAAGGGCGATATGTAGAACTAATGGCGCCAAAGGTGCGGTGCCGTCTTGACTGAGTGAGTGAGTTTAGTTTTACGCCGCTTTCCTTTCATATCACGGCGAGGGAAACCTGGATATATTTTGCGGCTGGGATTGAAATTCCGTATAGACCGGCATTAGGCACCACTGTCTTCCTTTGAATGATGAACACCGAGGACAGATTACGTGCACAATGAATGAGTGGGTGAGTTTAGATTTACGCCACTTTTAACAATATTCCAGCAATATCACGGCGGGGAACATCAGAAATGGGCTTCATGACATTGTACCCATGTGGGGAATCGAACCCGGGCCATCGGCGTGACAAGCGAACGCTTAAACCACTGGGCTAGCCACCGCTAACGTGCACAATGGTGTATGACCAGTATCCCTGTGGAAAATAAAGTGACTCAAGTCTAGAATAACACACATCAGTGCTATGAAAGTAAATATAACTTAATTTTGTAGGGATATACTTTATGTAAGACAACTGTATTTGTTGGATTCCTGCTTATCTCCTGTGTATCACGCTGTACAGGATGTATCTAGATCTAATTTAGGCTATCTATTTAACCCTTCTGATGGTAAATATCTTATTGGTAAAATAAAAATTATTGTCCATGATATACAAATATGTTTAAAAATAACAATCGAACGTTTTCGTGACTCTATATGTTTCTTTTTGTTTGAAGCCACAGTCTGTATGAAGGCCGTCTGTAATAACTGGGATTACCCAGACAAACCTGTGATCGATGGTGGAGCCATGTCACCACGCTATCTCTGTACAATGACACGTAATCTACAATATCACCTTGCCTGCAACTCTACATGGTTAGTCTGCCGCACATTCCCTAGAGATTGTCTGTCTCACAGACCTCTAGTCTGCACACATTCCCTAGAGATTGTCTGTCTCGCAGACCTCTAGTCTGCCTCACATTCCCTAGAGATTGTCTGTCTCACAGACCTCTAGTCTGCCTCACATTCCCTAGAGATTGTCTGTCTCACAGTCCTCTAGTCTGCCTCACATTCCCTAGAGATTGTCTGTCTCACAGTCCTCTAGTCTGCCTCACATTCCCTAGAGATTGTCTGTCTCACAGTCCTCTGTCTGTTTTCAGTCCTCTAGCTTCACATTCCCTAGAGATTGTCTGTCTCACAGTCCTCTAGTCTGCCTCACATTCCCTAGAGATTGTCTGTCTCACAGTCCTCTAGTCTGCCTCACATTCCCTAGAGATTGACTGTTTTGCAGACCTCTAGTCTGCCTCACATTCCCTAGAGATTGTCTGTTTTGCAGTCCTCTAGTCTGCCTCACATTCCCTAGAGATTGACTGTTTTGCAGACCTCTAGTATGTCTCACATTCCCTAGAGATTGTCTGTTTTGCAGACCTCTAGTCTGCCTCACATTCCCTAGAGATTGACTGTTTTGCAGACCTCTAGTCTGTCTCACATTCCCTAGAGATTGTCTGTCTCACAGTCCTCTAGTCTCCCTCACATTCCCTAGATATTGTCTGTCTCACAGTCCTCTAGTCTGTCTCACATTCCCTAGAGATTGTCTGCCCCACAGTCCCTGATCCAGATATTTTCCCGTCTGCAACATGTGTAATAATGGAAACGTCCTGAATGAAGCAAGTTCAGAATATACTATTCCACTTCGTTTCCTTTTCAGTTTGATCGAATATAGTTTCTTTTTTTCTATCACTAATATGTATTTTCAGAGACTAAACGTACGTTAATCTAACTCTAAACAGAATACATTAAATTTATCCAACTCAAGGCTAGAATCATCGCGTGGATGTATAAACACCTATTTCACAACATTACAACAGCCGTCACTCAGCGTGACCCCAAACACACACACACACAAAAACCTAGATTGCCAGTCACCCTCAGTAACACCACGTGACTAGCCCGCACAGTCGATGCACATTCAGGCCAGACCCAGTTTCCCTCGTAACCTGAAAAATTTACCGAGCCCCGCTTTGAGCACAGACTCTACTTATCGATCCGTCTCACACGTGGAGTTGTTGAGAAGCATTTATAACGAGACAGTAACGGGAAGATGGTTTCGGGAGATGATATCAACGGGTCGGCGTATATTTTCGGAACTCTGGCCGTCGCCTCCGCAGCTAAATATGCATTTGGTGCTTACACAAGATGGCAGAAACTACAGCGATTTGAATTGGTGGGACGTGTTTCGGCATTGAATGTGTTCCCGGTCAAGTCGTGCGGAGGAATCTCGGTACAGAGGGCGCTGAGCAGCCGTCTCGGGTTGAGAGTTCAAGGGGTCACTGACAGGTGAAGGCCTTTTCACTTTGAGAATGAATTGCATGATTCTGCCGTAATATACCCATTTGGAGAGTATGATAGCTGTTTTTAGCAAGTCCTGGAAATTTATTTTCGTGTTATGTAGATGATATATCAGTTCTATCACTTTTACGGTCGTTATTTAATAGACTAAAATATGCCTTGACCCATTTCGAGATAATTAAGGATTTTATATGGTGTGTTGTATTTCCATGTTTATCTTGATAGATCATATTTATAGATATCCTGTCACAACTTTTAAACAGAAGATACCATCAGAACGTTTGGTATGATTATCTCCCCTGACATAATCTTGTTGTAATCACAAGAGTCCAACGAGAGGTCGATAATATGAAGCTTTCGTTCCAAATGTAAAATACGACTTTACGACAGTGATGGGGTGTTATGAAGTGAATAGGTCCCCACAAGTTGAGAGTAAGGAGGTATAACTTTAAATCATTCACAGTTACATCTATCTGCAGCAACCAATTGCAAATTTGTCGGAGTATTCCTATCAATCGTCCGAGACATATATACTCATGCCAATAATGGTTGTCACCCCCTTCAATTTTTTTAATTGGAGAGGGGGGTGGGGTGCAACAACCATTATTGGCATGAGTATATAAGCAGAAATAGTCAAGGTAAGGCGTGCACGAAGTGACCTAAAAAGAAACGTGACCTATGGCAGATAACACAACCTTTCTTTGGTCAAACATGACCTTGGTCAGATAGCAGAACCTTTCGTTGGTAACACGTGGCCTATGGTAGATAATACAATTTCTCGTGGGTAAAACGTGACCTATGGTAGAAAATACAACTTATCGTGGGTAAAACGTGACCTGTGGTAGCTATTACTACTTCTCGTGGGTAAAACGTGACCTATAGTAGCAAATATAACTTCTCGTGGGTAAAACGTGACCTATGGTAGATAAGACAATTTCTCTTGGGTAACACGTGACCTATGGTATAGAAAACAATTTCTCGTGGGTAAAACGTGACCTATGGTATAGAAAACAACTTCTCTTTATTCATCCCCTTCCCGCCCCAAGCAGCCTTTATTCATCCCCTTCCCACCCCAAGCAGCTTTATTCATCCCCTTCCCACCCCAAGCAGCCTTTATTCATCCCCTTCCCGCCCCAAGCAGCCTTTATTCATCCCTTCCAGCCCCAAGCAGCTTTATTCATCCCTTCCCACCCCAAGCAGCTTTATTCATCCCTTCCCATCCCAAGCAGCCTTTATTCATCTCCTTCCCGCCCCAAGCAGCTTTATTCATCCCCTTCCCATCCCAAGCAGCCTTTATTCATCCCCTTCCCGCCCCAAGCAGCCTTTATTCATCCCCTTCCCACCCCAAGCAGCCTTTATTCATCCCCTTCCCGCCCCAAGCAGCCTTTATTCATCCCTTCCCGCCCCAAGCAGCCTTTATTCATCCCTTCCCACCCCAAGCAGCCTTTTTATTCCCATGCCCCAAGCAGCCTTTATTCATCCCGCTTCCCATCCCAAGCAGCCTTTATTCATCCCCCTTCCCACCCCAAGCAGCCTTTATTCATCCCCTTCCCACCCCAAGCAGCCTTTATTCATCCCCCTTCCCTTCCCCCAAGCAGCCTTTATTCATCCCCTTCCCACCCCAAGCAGCCTTTTATTCATCCCCTTCCTTCCGCCCCAAGCAGCCTTTATTCATCCCTTCCCGCCCCAAGCAGCTTTATTCATCCCCTTCCCGCCCCAAGCAGCCTTTATTCATCCCCTTCCCACCCCAAGCAGCCTTTATTCATCCCCTTCCCACCCCAAGCAGCCTTTATTCATCCCCGCCCCAAGCAGCCTTTATTCATGCCCCTTCCCCATCCCAAGCAGCCTTTATTCATCCCCTTCCCTCCCGCCCCAAGCAGCCTTTATTCATCCCCTTCCGACCCCAAGCAGCCTTTATTCATCCCATCCCCCTTCCCGCCCCAAGCAGCCTTTATTCATCCCCTCTTCCGACCCCAAGCAGCCTTTATTCATCCCCTTCCCGCCCCAAGCAGCCTTTTATTCATCCCCTTCCCATCCCAAGCAGCCTTTATTCATCCCCTTCCCACCCCAAGCAGCCTTTATTCATCCCCTTCCCATCCCAAGCAGCCTTTATTCATTCATCCCTTCCCGCCCCAAGCAGCCTTTATTCATCCCCTTCCCCATCCCTTTCCCACCATCCCAAGCAGCCTTTATTCATCCCCTTCACCCCAAGCAGCCTTTATTCATCCCCTTCCCACCCCAAGCAGCCTTTATTCATCCCCTTCCCACCCCAAGCAGCCTTTATTCATCCCCTTTCCCAAGCAGCCTTTATTCATCCCCTTCCTGCCTTTCATCCCCTTCCCACCCCAAGCCTTTATTCATCCCCTTCCCACCCCCTTTATTCATCCCCTTCCCACCCCAAGCAGCTTTATTCATCATCCCTTTATTCATTCATCCCTTCCCGCCCTAAGCAGCCTTTATTCATCCCCTTCCCACCCCAAGCAGCCTTTATTCATCCCCTTCCCGCCCTAAGCAGGTTTACTCATCCCCTTCCCACCCCAAGCAGCTTTATTCATCTTCCTGAAATCTCAGCTAACTTTCTGGACCGATAAGAGGCTCACCCATGCCTAACTTCGTTCTTTCATTGTTCTTAAAAAGATACAGCACTATAACAATATGCTATAGATATCAAGTGGTATCATCTGTCGTGTTTGCAGGCATTGGATGGTAACCAGACCGAATGGCGACTTCCTCTCTCAAAGGCAGGCCCCGAAGATGTCGTTGCTGAAAGTCAGTTTCCATGGAGACCAGGTGTTTGTTGACGGACCAGGGATGCCAACACTGAAACTACCCATCAACCCCACGGTTGTCCCGTCCCTGGTGAAGAAATGTCGGTATGGAGAAATGAATATTTGTAACAACTGAATGTACTCGGTTAGGATGGAGTAAGATTGTTGACTTCAGCTGATGGTTCGTGTTCACATTGGGGATCCTATGAAAATCCAGGTTAGAATTGGTCTTCAGCAACACATGCTTGTCGTGAAAAGCGTCTAACAGGATCGGTTGGTCAGGCTCGCTGACATGGTTCACACATGTAATCGTGTCCCAATTGCGTAGATCGATGCTCATGGTGTTGATCACTGGATTGTCTGGTCCAGACTCGATTATTTACATACCGCCACCATATAGCTGGAATATTGCCGAGTGCGGCGTTAAGCAACAAACCAACCTAGCTTCACACATATACCTGACACTCGTCTTTTGCGCTTACAGTGTGTGGGAGTGGAGGACGGAGGGGCTGGACTGTGGACAGGAGGCTGCAGACTGGATGTGCTCTTTCATGGGACAGGAAGGACTCCGGGTACTGTTCTCGGCTCCAGGACTGCGAAAGAGGGAGTCCAGCGAGGAGATAAAACCATGGGGAAACCCTGCCCTTCTCGGTGACCAGGTAATTGGGCTGACCCATGTAGCCTTATCCATCCCATGTCATGTCAAAACCCAGGGGCGGTGGGGTAGCCTACTGGTTAAAGCGTTAGCTCGTCACGCCGAAGGCCCGTGTTCGATTCCCCACATGGATACAATATGTGAAGCCCATTTGTGGTGTCCCCGCCCTAATATTGCTGGAATATTGCTAAAAGCGGCGTGAAACTGAACTCACTCACTCATGTCAACACCCAACCTGCGCCTTTAAAATTTCAGCAAGATAAAGATACGTGTAAGCCTTTGATACTTTCATCCCACTTTCAGCAGACACATATGTGAAATGACCCGTGAAGATCCGGATTAGAATATTGATCTTCAGTAACCCATGCTTGCCGTAAGAGGCGACTAATGGGATCGGGTGGTCAGGCTCGCTGGCATGGTTGACACATGTCATCGGTTCCCAATTGCGCAGATCGATGCTCATGGTGTTGATCACTGGATTGTCTGGTCCAGACTCGATTCTTTACAGACCGCCGCCTATAGCTGGAATATTGCTGAGTGCGGTGTAAAAATAAACTCACTCACTCACTCACTCTCACAAATGTGAAATGCTCTTCAGAGCAGGGTTAAATCCAACTCACTCACTCACACACTGTATACACGGTATTTACCTGCGATCATACACCACTGCAATGGAGTGGCCCAATGGTTAATGCACTCAAAACATCACAGATATGTGTTTGATGAAGCGAGTTCTCTGTGTCTAGACCTTGGTGTCATTCCCGGAATATTTGCGTAAGAACTATTGTTTTTTTTACAGTCAGCCTACAGCGACTTTGGAGCATATATGCTTCTGTCGGAGGAATCTCTGAACTTCCTCAACAGCAACCTCAACAAGAAAGTCACTATGCGGAATTTCAGGCCCAACATCGTCGTCAGCACCAACGCAGCAGCGTTCGATGAGGTATGAACATAGGCATCAGAAAATGATCGAATCCGTCAAGGAGATCGGGTAGCCTAGTGGTTAAAGCGTTCGATTCCCCTTCTCAATATTGCTAAAGACAGCGTAAAACTAAAGTCACTCACTCCATATACCATTACAACATCATGACACTGTGTCGCCATGATCAAATTGTTGGACGCATACGTAAAATACCACGCTCCACTCAGTTCTAATTTTGAAAGTTACTCGGTAAACCTTATGCATTCATGGAAGCAGTCCTACATGTTCATCCGCCGACAAAGAATTACATTTCATAACTTGCACGGAATATATGTCCAGTTGACAATATTGTGTTGGCACTGACGCGTCCACTTTTGTCAAAAGAGGCGACTAACGGGATCGGGTGGTCAGGCTCACTGACTTGGATGACACATATCATCGTATCCCAATTGCGTATATCGATGCCCATGCTATTGATCACTGGATTGTCTGGTCCAGACTTATTTACAGACCGCCGCTATATAGCTGGAATATGGCCGAGTGCGGCGTGAAACAACAACCAACCAACTTGACACGTCCATGTTTGGGATGTTCTAACAATGTAAACACTGATGCATTTCTCTGTTCAGGACAACTGGCATGAAATCAAGATTGGAGACAAAGCCTACATGAGGATGCTGGATCCCTGCACGAGGTATGTAGCTGTTGTGTCAGCTGATCTGAATGTTAATGAGAGTGAAAAATATTCCTGTCTGTGCCGATCCGGTCCGATCCGGTCCGAGAGGAAGTGACAGCGACAGCCATATTGCATATAATAACTGCCCGTTTAGTTCTTTTCTAATTTTGTTCATATCCTGAACTTTTGGGTTTAAATTTTGATCTATGTTCCGTAGGTGTACAATGACTACAGTTAATGGAGATTTGGGAGAGAAATCTAAAGACGGCGAACCATTGGAAACTCTAAAACGGTAAGAATGGATGCATGTTTTATACAGCCTTGATCTGAACCCCAGAACGTCTGTCTATTAATCATGGAGTCAACCAGCGGTTGAATTATGAGCAAAGTCCGACGATGACTGAGTAAGGTGCTTTCAGCTTAGTCGGATTTTGCAAGCACCTAAGACTAATTATTATCTTAAATAACTTTTGCGACTAGCATTGGTATATAGGACATGTTGTGATAGTGTAATAAATATGTGTTTGTTTCTTTTACGACCTATATTCGAGATGTCGTTGGGCATGCGCAGAACAGTAGCTTAAGGGCACAATGTCACACATTTTCGACAATATTTTGGCATATATTATACATATTGGGGCTATGCACTCACTTCAACTTCCTATTGATACAATAAAAGACTTATTATCCCTTACGACTTGCCTGAAATCGATAACTGAAACTTCGAGGCGAATAGCTTCCAAATCAGAGAACACTTGCCATATATGGAATATAAACAATTGCTCCGTACATCGAAAACTGTCGCACGCGGTGTTGTCGGTGTTTACCAAACTGGTTTCAATCACAAATTGTGCGTAGGATATTCGAAAAGAGCGCTCCAAGGCACATAACTCCATGGAGTTCGTTTGAAATAACGTTCGGCCAGTTGAGGGCGCGAGAGTCGATTTAATGTAACGTTGCATTAATTCATTCGAACTTTTTAATTTAATATTGTAATGTAAATACGTAATTTTGTTTGGAATAAAGTATATGGTAGCTTCCGTGAAGGTTGATAGTATTATTAGGAGAAATGCATTATGTATTTTTAGAGAAGTGTGGTGTGATATTGTGCCTTTACTGTATTGTTTTAAAACGTAACAGTAAAACGAATATAATTACACTCGTTATCAATTTACAAGTTAAGTCAAGGTCACTGTGCATAGATCTTAACCGGTGATTGGCTTAAATGATTGGCAGTCAGGTAACTGCGCATTGCCATGTTCTTATTCCAACATGCCCCAAGCAACACAAATACGGGTGTGCGTGCTTTGTTGATATAGAAGTTGGCCGTTGGGCAAATGTTCCTAGAGAATATCGTCAGTGTAATTTATGCAACTCTCATGCTGTGGGAGATGAACTCCATTATCTGTTCAAATGCGATGCTTCATTACTGTATTGACAAACATATTTACCTTCTTACCTGAACCCAATAACCTTGTGGAAAGTCGTCAAACTGTTCTCGTCTAAACAAACGCGCAATCTTACACATCTTGCTATGTACATTAATGTAATATTTAAGTCTACAAAGATACATTAACCTTTGGTTCTTTTTCGCTTTTATCTGCCATCTTGTCATGAATATATTTATATGACTATAGTAATATTGTATTCTCATGTACCACCGTTGGTGGTGTTTTGAGTAATAAATTGAATTGAATTGATAAGGTTCATCGTTATTCACGATAGGAATCACTTGATTGTCTGGTCCATATTCGATTGTTGGAATACGAATCACATAATGAATTAAGCAAGAATGAATGTCATGTTCAGTAACTGTATTCCACTGGTGGGTTGTTGCTTCAAACAGGAAAGACCAACAGTCTCCATGTGTTAATAACATCCTGTATTGTTTCAGTTTACGATGTTTCCCGGCGTATGGAGCGGCTCCCATTTTCGGAGTGAACTGTGCGGTTGACGTGGAAGGAACAATCAACGTAGGCGACCCAGTATATGCTTTAAGAAAGTGAAACATTTATGAGGAGACACATCTTGATAATACGGGATTGGGTCTTTCTTTCCGAAAAACACTATGTTCTCTTTAAGCTATATCCGGCATATAAGAAAAACACTATGTTGTCTCAAAGCAATATCCGGCATATATATATATATATAAGAAAAACGCCATGTTCTCTTATAGCTATATCCGACATATAAGAAAAACGCCATGTTCTCTTATAGCTATATCCGACATATAAGAAAAACGCCATGTTCTCTTATAGCTATATCCGACATATAAGAAAAACGCCATGTTCTCTTACAGCTATATCCGACATATAAGAAAAACGCCATGTTCTCTTATAGCTATATCCGACATATAAGAAAAACGCCATGTTCTCTTATAGCTATATCCGACATATAAGAAAAACGACATGTTCTTTTTAGCTATATCCGGCATATTTCCGGATAAGGAACACATTGACAGATCCCTTATGGATAACTGATGTTTTCACATGTACCTGCATGGCTTACTTTGGCCATACGTTATCGTGAACCTAACATTAAAGTGGATCATTGTGCCAAAGTTGGCCCAATGCTGGATTCAACTTAGCAGTAAATGAACTGATGTACAAAAGAAACTACAAATCTGGTGTTTGGGGATTATTTTTTCCTCCCAAAAAATGTTGATTGTGAAAAGTGTTTATTGTTAATTGTTGCCATAAATGGACTATAAATAATTGCTCCGTACATCGAAAACTCACGCGGTGTTGTCGGTGTTTACCGAACTGGTTTGAATCAAAAGTTGTGCGTAAGATATTCGTAAAGAGCGCTCCAAGGGACATAACTCTATGGGGTTCGTTTGAAATAATGTTCGGCCGATAGAGGGCGCGGGAGTTGATTTTATGCTGCGTTGCATTAACCTTTTAATTTAATATTGTCATCTAAATACGTAATTTTGGGGGTAAAAATTATATGGTAGTTTCCCTGAGGGCTGATAGTTAGTATTATTGAGAGAAATGCATTTTTTACTTTTTAGAGAAGTGTGGTGTGATATAGTGCCTTTAATTGTTACTTGTGACAGCACCATGTATTCTTATACTTATAAAAATGAAAGCCCTACTAAATACAACAGCTCGCAGCCACCTGACTCTAAATCATTACCCGGATTACTGTCACGTGATCAAAACTCAAGACTTGATATTTCCTGAAGTTTCTATGTTTTTGTCATTACTTTAAGTAATAGCCCTTGTCGAAGGAATGACACATTTTCTCTTACACGTATCAGAACACATGCATTGGTCTTACATGATTATTGATGTACGATATTTCGTGATTCTAATTGTGGACAATGTATTTCAGGTGCAAACACATATTGTGTGAATTTCATGACTAGCGCATGTACTATCCTGTTGTGTAGCCACCAGCCTCGCTCATCCATACCTCCCAGAACTGATTCAGCTTTAAGATGGTGCTTTAACCACCCCTAGTTGTTGTTAACATGCCTTGCGAGAATGCGGAATATGTACTGTTTTAATGGCAAATGTGATACGGTGCTTATACTTGAAATGCATATATTTTCATGTATGATGTTTTCTTGATTTATACTGATATCGCAATATTGCCTATTCATGCTCTTAGCAGAACGTTATTAAAGCCGTCATTGTGCTTATAATTTCGTCCTCACCTTCCTGGGGTTGGGAACCAAGCTGTCTGGCCTGCGCTGATCTGTCCATTCCATTCTAATGAGTGCGTGTATGGATCTAGTGTAACTTATCAACTAGTTTGGATATAATTGATAATTGGCAAAATGGACGTGTCAGAGCCAACATAATATTGTCAACTAGATATATATTTCGTTCAAGTTATGAAATGTAATTCTTTGTCGGCGGGTGAACTTGTAGGACTGCTTCCATGAATGCATAAGGTTTACCGAGTAACTTTCAAAATTAGAAGTGAGTGGAGCGTGGTATTTTACGTGTGCGTCCAACAATTTGATCATGGCGACACAGTGTCATGATGTTGTAATGGTATATGGAGTGAGTGATTTTAGTTTAACGCCGTCTTTAGCAATATCGAGACGGAATCGAACCCGGGTCATCGAAGTGACAATCGAACACTTTAACAACTAGGCTACCCGATCTCCTTGACGGATTCGATCATTTTCTGATGCCTATGTTCATACCTCATCGAACGCTGCTGCGTTGGTGCTGACGACGATGTTGGGCCTGAAATTCCGCATAGTGACTTTCTTGTTGAGGTTGCTGTTGAGGAAGTTCAGAGATTCCTCCGACAGAAGCATATATGCTCCAAAGTCGCTGTAGGCTGACTGTAAAAAAACCAATAGTTCTTACGCAAATATTCCGGGAATGACACCAAGGTCTAGACACAGAGAACTCGCTTCATCAAACACATATCTGTGATGTTTTGAGTGCATTAACCATTGGGCCACTCCATTGCAGTGGTGTATGATCGCAGGTAAATACCGTGTATACAGTGTGTGAGTGAGTGAGTTGGATTTAATCCTGCTCTGAAGAGCATTTCACACATGTGTCTGCTGAAAGTGGGCTGAAAGTATCAAAAGCCTTAGACGCTTTTTACCTTGCTGAAATGATAAAGGCGCAGGTTGGGTGTTGACATGGGATCGATAGGGCTACATTGGCCAGCTCTATTACCGAGAAGGGCAGGTTATTCGCAAGGTCTCATAGCTGGACTCCCTCTTTTGTAGTCCCGGAACCGAGAACAGTGCAATACAGTCCTTCCTTTCCCAAGAAAGAGCACATCCAGTTTGCAGCCTCCTGTCCACAGTCCAGCCCCTCCGTCCCCCACACCCACACACTACAAGCACAAAGGACTAGCAACAATTATATATAATCAGCCAAGACGACGAGGCGGACCGACCCATAAATCAAATTGACTATAACAGCCAGCATAGGCGTCTATGAACCTGTGAACTTATCTTGAATCCCTATGGGGTTCTGATGGAGGAATGCTACACAGGTAGGACTTCTAGACACGAGATTTCTATTTCTATCGGGGCGGTGGGGTAGCCTTATGGTTAAAGCGTTGGCTCGTCACGCCGAAGACCCGGGTTCGAATTCCCACATGGGTACGATGTGTGAAGCCCATTTCTGGTGTCCCCCGCCGTGATGTTGCTGGAATATTGCTTAACGCGGCGTAAAACCAAACTCAGTCAGTCAGTCTATTTCTATCGAGAAGAGGTCAAATCTGCACACTAAATACGCTATGTCCCGTTAGTCGCCTTTTACGACAAGCATGGGTTGATGAAGACCAATTCTAACCCGGATCTTCACGGGTGTAAAGTTAGGAACTCCAATGTGAACACGTACCCTCAGCTGAAGTCAATAATCTTACTCCATCCTAAACCGAGTACATTCAGTTGTTACAAATATTAATTTCTCCATACCGACATTTCTTCACCAGGGACGGGACAACCGTGGGGTTGATGGGTAGTTTCAGTGTTGGCATCCCTGGTCCGCCAGAGATCGACAACAGACTTGACAAAGCAAACAGCGCATTTGGCGGACTGTACAAAAGGGTCTATAACAACAGACACCTGAAGAAGAGCACAATGATCAGAGTGTACAGAGCCCTTGTCCTCTATGGCTCTGAGTCGTGGGTCATTTATCGCCACCAACTGCGACTTCTCGAGCGCTTCCATCAACGCTATCTCCGCACCATCCTCATCACCAATGTCGAAGTCCTGGAACAGGTAGAGATTACCAGCATTCAGGCAAAGCTGCTGAAGTCTCACCTACGCAGGGCAGGGCTCGTCTTCAGAACGGAGGACCATCGTCAGCCTAAGATCGCACCGTATGTCGAAATCTCCACTGGTCACAGCGACAGATCGGCACCAAAGAAGAGGTACAAGGATTCCCTGATTCCCATCGACCCTTGCTGCAAACCGCGAGGTCTGGCGTCACACCACCCACCAGCTGCCTCGTCCTTTGAAGACTCAGCTAGGGCCAGTTTAAAGAACAAGAGGCAGAGAAGGAAGAACCGCGAAAGCTCAGCACCAATCCCAGGCCAGATCTTCACCTGCGGCAGCTGTGGCCGGACTAGACTACGCTTAATCCCTGAATATATATAACTTTGGTAGTAACAAATAAACCCATTTAAATTGAAAAGGAGCCCCGGTGAGTTGAGAGATACAAAAGAACCTGGGGAAATCTAGACTTGCTTTATTTAGGGCTTTAACATTGCAGGGAGGGCTAGGCAAATAATGTGGTTCAGGGACTGTGAGACAGACTATGGCCGGACCTGCCTGTCCCGCATTGGCCTTGTCAAACACGGGCGTGCCTGTGGTCGACGTGGACCACCCCCTTCACAGATCTTCGTTCGCGAAGCATGGCCATGATGATGACATCACCCCTCACTTAACCTGTGTCGTTTTATAGACAAAACAATGATGAAAACTGAGTCAACGGACTTTACTTTTCATTCTTTGGTTTTTGGTTTGTTTGAATAATATTTATAGAAATTTACACATTTAGTGTAGTACACCATATATTTAAAGCTTTAGACAAGTGTTAGAAGATGAAACATAGGCATCATGTACTTGTGACAACACGTACCTTAGTTCCTGTGATGTGCAATATTCAATATTGGGACCGACCAATATTGCAGTTTCATATGGACAGGTTAATGAACAGCAAGTTAATTTAACCTATGCATTTTATGAAATGTATATGGACATATATTGAAAGGAATACTTGTTCATTGAAATTGTTTGTGCCGTTTTCTAGACAAAACAATGATGTATAGTGAGTTCACAGACTGTACCTATCGATCCGTCTCACACGTGGAGTTGTTGAGAAGCATTTATAACGACACTGTAACGGGAAGATGGTTTCGGGAGATGAGATCAACGGGTCGGCGTATATTTTCGGAACTCTGGCCGTCGCCTCCGCAGCTAAATATGCATTTGGTGCTTACACAAGATGGCAGAAACTACAGCGATTTGAATTGGTGGGACGTGTTTCGGCATTGAATGTGTTTCCGGTCAAGTCGTGCGGAGGAATCTCGGTACAGAGGGCGCTGAGCAGCCGTCTCGGGTTGAGAGTTCAAGGGGTCACTGACAGGTGAAGGCCTTTTCACTTTGAGAATGAATTGCATGATTCTGCCGTAACATACCCATTTGGAGAGTATGATAGCTGTTTATTAGTAAGTCATGGTAATTTATATAATATACTCCCCTTCAAAAGTTTAGAATCACTAGTGTACATGTAGCCACTTATTTCAGGCAACTGTTCTAACCTAAATTTTGCAAAATATTCCATACTGAGTAAAGGTGCTGTTTATACATGAACTGATGTATTGTAAAACAAATTCATTACGTTGAAAAGAGTATTGTCATGAGTTCAATAAATGATGAAACTCGGTTACAAATGGCGAATTCTTATCAAAACTTTACACCAAAACGCAGCTGTTCACATGTACGATATTTGCACGATACTTTTCAGCAATTTGATGTATGATCCTCGTGCAATTAATCTGCATAAGGTTTGCAGTTGTTTCCCCCAAGTTAGTGGAGAAATTCAGCTTCGTTGTAACCGTATATACATACATAACATATAGGGAATGTTTTAAGTGAGTCTAAACCATTGATGGGTAGTATATATATACACGCACGCACGCACTTGCCCCTCAGCTACCAGTAGCCTATAACAGTTGTTCAAATTTGAGCAAAGGAACGTTCTTTAAAATGTTCTGTTCCACGTTCACTTTTACAAGGATTATTACTGAATCATATCAAGATCATGTTAAGAAAGGCAGGTTTTTATGATATGTTGTATTTTCAGCCGTATCTATAGATCAGATTTATAGATATCCTTTCAAAACTTGGAGACCGAATATTCCATCACTACGTTTGATATGATTGTCTCCCTTAACATCATCTTGTTGCAGTAAGGGGCGGTGGGGTAGCCTGGTGGTTAAAGCGTTAGCTCGTCACGCCGAAGACTCGGGTTCGATACCCACATGGGTACAATGTGTAAAGCCCTTTTCTGGTGTCCCCCGCCGTGATGTTGCTGCAATATTGCTAAAAGCGGCGTAAAACTAAACCCAGTCACTCACTCTTGTTGTAATCGATCTTTGACCAGTTCAACAAGAGGTGGATAGTATGGTGCTTTCCTTCCAAATCACGACAGTAATAGGGCGATATGATGTGGATTGGACCTCACGAGTTGAGAGTTACGAGGTTCAACTTTAAATCATTCACAGTTATATCTATCCGCACCACCACATTACACGTTTTTTCGGAGGATTCCTGTGAATCGTACGTGACATATATAAGCAGGAATGGTCATTGTAACACGCGCACGAAGTGACTTAAAAAGAAACGTGACCTATGACAGATAACACGACCTTTCTTTGGTCGTACATGACGTACATGACAGCACAATCTTCCGTTGGTAAAACGTGACCTATGCTAGAAAACACAACTTCTCTTGAGTAAAACGTAACCTGTGCTAGATAACACATCTTATATCTTCACTTGGGTAAAACGTAACCTATGCTTGATAACACATCTTATATCTTCTCTTGGGTAAAACGTAACATATGCGAGATAACAAAACCTATTTTCGGTAAAACGTAACCTATACTTGATAACACATCTTATATCTTCACTTGGGTAAAACGTAACATATGCGAGATAACACGACTTCTCTTGAGTGAAACGTAACCTATCCTAGATAACAAAACTTGTTTTCGGTAGAACGTAACCTATGCTAGATAACACATCTTATATCTTCTTTCGTGTAAAACGTAACCTATGCTAGATAACACAACTTCTTGTGGGTAAAACGTAACCTATGCTTGATAACACATCTTATATCTTCTCTCGTGTAAAACGTAACCTATGCTAGATGACAAAACTTCTTGTGGGTAAAACATTGCTTCTTCTATAGCAGTACCTCCCTTCTGTTGACTAAAACACAAACATGTCTTTGTTGAAATAATGTCCTTTGGTGAACGTATTAGGCAAAACGGGACTACGTAAGACAACGCCACGGAGGTTCTGATTTAGAAACGGCGCCAAGCGATTTATGTGCCCGTTTTAGGAGGTACGTAACTCGTAGGAGGTCTCGTAACTTTAAAGATAAGAGCATTTTATAAATAGAAACTATGGTTTATTCCCCAATCAGAATCTCACGGTTACCTGTACTCACTAGCAATACGATTAACTGTTTGTGGTAATAATGATGTATATGACACGCCTTTCTATAGGTGCATTTGTTTACGCAGTTTTCCCCAAAACGTATCACGTAAATATTCATGACCAATATCTCGTTTTGTTCAGGATATTTCAAAGAGCTTGGTGTACTGATGACGTCCTCTTAAAAGTTCCTATGATGTGCAATATTCAATATTGGTACCAATATTGCAGTTTCATTTGAAGAAGTTAATGAACAGCGATTTAATTTGACCTATATATTTTATGAAATGTATATGCACACATATTGGAAGGAATTGTCTTGTTCATTAAATTTTGTTTGTGTCGTTTTATTGACAGAACAATGATATATATTGAGTGGCCAGGTGCGCGCTTGTCACAGAATTTCAAACTGTAACTATATTTCCACGAAAATCATCCTTATCCTTAAAGAAATATTCGGGTGTTGTGAAATAGTCTTTTTCATTTATGATACATTGCTGTCAAACAGGTGTGCGTGTTGTTCACATTAAGGTACACAGTCAAACCGTCTAATTGTTTTTCTATTCAGGACATTATTTAAATGGTACAATTAGTCAAATTATGTTCTGTCGAATTCTGACACAAAAACCGAGACTGTTTATACAATAAATGGAAATTATGTCAGAAATATACCAATCAACATACTTATGTCGTCTTTTTCCGACGTCGCAAAATACATAAAACAAACGATCACGTGAACTAAAATGTTGTATTTTTTTCAGTAATTTCATTGCATTTGAAGATATGGCTAGTACTTTGTTAACATGGTGCAATGTAATCGTGTAATAAGATGTCATCTTTTCTTATAAATTGTGATACTACCAAACGTATGCTGTTAGAGTGGGGATCTTTGTATTGGTATAGTTTGGTTCACGGTAAACATAACATCACGAAGATATAGTGTCCGTATCCACATCAAAATCTCTCCAAGAGATCTGAGTTACAATGACCTAGTGTTAAGCATAGCGGAGTTATGACGCCTTATCTTTATACGTGTATGACGTCGTCGTTTGACGTCATAGAGGGAAATCCATTTTCGACATTTATTGCGAGCTTAACTTAAGATTAAGTGCTTAACGTTATACATAAGAACACAAACACATTTCATATATACGTATTTCGTTCAGATATCAGAAAGTATTTTGTTCGCTCACACTTTCGTAAAGATGCCAAATTGAAGAAGTCCTCGCAGAGTGCTTTTATTGATGCGTAATAAAATGCGGAGATATTTACTGTTTTTTAACGTATAACACAATTTCTGACAACATTTAGCAGTGAGTATGTTTTAAACCGCCTACGTATTTGCACTGGAATGTATACCATCGGATAGGAAATATAATATTCTACATTTCTGTGTGATTTTATAGCCATAGGTAGATAAAGGACCACAATTCTCGCACAACGTTCACTTTTCAAACCTGATGAAAGTGTGCGCCAGCAAAAAACCTTCGGTATATAGAGGATACTAAACGACCTTCCGTGTAATACCAAACGAGCTAAAGTGAGTTTAGTATTCTGTTTTATATTACTCACCAACATAGATTTATAGAAACTGCCTGCCTACAGTGTGATGACTCTCAGCTTCCGCGAGGAAAGCAAGTTCTAATACCATTGTGACAGAGGTAAAAGCATTGTGACGTCATAACTGTGAACCATTATGACGTCATACATCCAACATCACGCGATGTTATTACACAATGTGTAATAACATTGTAGAGTTATTACACAGTGATATCTTTAACGGGTAAGTAATAAATAGAGAATACTAAACGATGTCCCGTGTAATACCATAGTTATGAAACGAGTGAATCGTTTGGTATCTAACGAGCGAAATTTATCAAACAGTGATATCTTCAACGTGTGAGTAATAAAGGGATATACACGACGATTCCTAAACATTTTCTGTAATTACTAGCTTTGTAGACCGATAAGAGCCTCACTCGTGCCTCATTTCATTCTTTCATTGTGTATATGACAATATACGATAGATATAATTCAGTATCATCTGCTTGCAGGCACTGGATGGTAACCAGGCCGAATGGCAAGTTTCTGTCTCAAAGACACGCCCCGAAGATGTCGTTGCTGAAAGTCAGTTACCATGGAGACCAAGTGTTTGTTGACGGACCAGGGATGCCAACACTGAAACTACCCATCAACCCCACGGTTGTCCCGTCCCTGGTGAAGAAATGTCGGTATGGAGAAATGAATATTTGTAACAGCTGAATGTACTCGGTTAGGATGGAGTAAGATTGTTGACTTCAGCTGATGGTTCGTGTTCACATTGGGGATCCTAACTTTACACCCGTGAAGCCCGCGTTAGAACTGGTCTTCATCAACCCATGTTTGTCGTAAAAGGCGACTAATGGGATCGGGTAGTCAGACTCGCTGACTTGGTTTACACGTATCCCAGTTACGTAGATCGATGCTCACATATACCTGACACTCGTCCTTTGTGCTTGTAGTGTGTGGGTGTGGGGGACGGAGGGGCTGGACTGTGGGCAGGAGGCTGCAGACTGGATGAGCTCTTTCTTGGGACAGGAAGGACTTCGGGTACTGTTCTCGGCACCGGGACTGCACAAGAGGGAGTCCAGCGAGGAGCTAAAACCATGGGGATATGGAAACCCTGCTCTTCTCGGCGACCAGGTAATATTAGGGCTGACCGAGGTATCCTCGATTCCTGTTTAGAGTTCGAATCCCAGGTTCGTGTCGTGTCATGTCAACACCCAACCTGCGCCTTTACAAGCAAGTTGAAACACGTCTAAGGCTTTTGATACTTTCTTCCCGCTTTCAGCGGACACATGTGTGAAATGCTCTTCAGAACGGGGTTAAATCCAACTCACTCACGCACACAATGTATACACGGTATTTACCTGCGATCATACACCGCGATGGGGGGTGGCCCAATGGTTAATGCTCTCAAAACATCACAGAAATTTTGTTTGATGAAGCGAGTTCTCTGTGTCTAGACCTTGGTATTATTCCCGGAATATTTGCGTAACAACTAATTTTTATTACAGTTAGCCTTCAGCGACATTGCAGCATATATGCTTCTGTCGGAGGAATCTCTGAACTTCCTCAACAGCAACCTCAACAAGAAAGTCACTATGCGGAATTTCAGACCCAACATCGTCGTCAGCACCAACGCAGCAGCGTTCGATGAGGTATGAACATAGGCACCAGAAAATGATCGAATCCGTCAAGGATCAAGGAGATCGGGTAGCCTAGTGGTTAAAGCGTTCGACTGTCACTTCGATGACCCGGGTTCGATTCCCCGTCTCGATATTGCTAAAGACGGGCAAAACTAAAGTCACTCACTCCATACCATTACAACATCATGACACTGTGTCGCCATGATAAAATTGTTGGACGCACACGTAAAATACCACGCTCCACTCAGTTCTAATTTTGAGTTAGTGATTTTAGTTTTACGCAATGTAAACACTGGTGCACCTCTCTGTTCAGGACAATTGGCAAGAAATCAAGATTGGGGCAACGCTTATGAGGATGCTGGACCCGTGCAAAGGTAGGTCCATATGGATCCACTGTTGTCTCAGCTGATCTGATAATGATGATAATAATCTGAATGTTAATGATAGTCATAAATATTCCTGTCTGTGCCGATCCGGTCCGATCCGATCCGAGAGGAAGTGACAGCGACAGCCATATTGCAAATAATAACTGCCCGTTCAGTTCTTTTCTAATTTTGTTTATATCCTGAACGTTTTGTTTTAAATTTTAATCTTTGTTCCCTAGGTGTATAATGACAACAATCAATGGAGATTTGGGAGAAATCTAAAGACGGCGAACCACTGGCAACTCTAAAGCGGTAAGAATGGATACATGTTTTATACCGCCTTGATCTGAACCCAGAACGTCTGTCTATTAATCATGGAGTCAACCAGTGGTTGATATTATGGGCAAAGTCCGACGATGACTGAGTAAGGTGCTTTAAGTCGGATTTTGCAAGCACCCAAGACTAATTATCATCTTAATTGTTTGCGACAAGCATATATATCTAGGACAGGAACGATCAACAGTTTCCATGAATTACAAACATCACCGCCAATATTTCAGTTTACGATGTTTCCCGGGGTATGCAGCATCTCCCCTTTTCGGCGTCAACTGTGCGGTTGACGTGGAAGGAACGATCAACGTAGGCGACCCAGTATATGCTTTAAGAAAGTGAAACATTTATGAGGAAACACTACAACTTGATAATACGGGATCGGGTCTTTCTTTCCGAGTGAGTGAGTTTAGTTTTACGCCGCTTTCAGCAATATTCCTGTAATATCACAGCGGGGATCCCAGAAATGAGCTTCACACATTGTGGGAAATTGATCCCGGGTCTTCGGCGTGATGAGCGAACGCCTTAATCACTAGGCTTACCCCAACGCCCGAAAAACATCACATGTGTTCTTTAATAGTTATATCCGGGATATAAGAAAACACCATGTTCTCTTAAAGATATATCCGGCATATTTCCGGATAAGGAACACATTGAAAGATCCATTATGGACCATTGATTAATCCACCTGCATGGCCTACTTTGGCCCAACGTCTTCGCAAACCGTTGACCTAACATTAACGTGGATCATTGTGCCAAAGTTGGCCCAGTGCTGGATCCAGCCTTACGTTATCAAACCCGTCAACGAATCATTGGGCATCTAACTTCGCCTTCAGCTTCCTGAGGGTATAGAGCCAAGCTGTCTGGCCTGCACTGACCTTTACTTCCTCTCCAATGAGGACGTGTATGGATCTGGTGGTCCCACTTGGTGCTTAAACGTTTGAAGTCTATCACAGAAAATAACATATATAAGTTATATATTCAGCACCGCACGATACGTCAGGGGTACCTTCATCAACCGCCATACTTTATTCAATTTCAAAGGTCATGGTCCAAAAGGGTTTGTATCAACTGGTATTTTATAACCTTTAGGGACACTTAAGTGATTATTGTGTGTGAATGAGTAAGATCTTACGTTGTTTTTAGCATTATCCCAGCAATATCACAGTGGGGACAATAGTAATGTTGTGTACACATGGTATCCATGAGGGGTACGAACCGGACCTTCGTCGTGACTAGCGAACACGTTAACCATATACCCAACCGTCACTGGTTGTATGTGGAAATATTACAAAATATTTTCAACAACATTAAATCTTTATTCCGTGTACAGTAACATGATCTCTCGTTACACATGAAGGTTTGTCAATACTTCCTGGTCTACACTAAACGTTCCTGCATCACCCGTGGATATGTGTGGCTGATTTGTGCAGTTAATACACAAGCCGGTTTGTGCAGGTGCTCTATCTAACTGTCATTCCCTGCCAAGGCCTGGTTCTGTCCGGGAACGCCCAGATACCACAGACACATTTGCCATTTAAGGATTGTAGTGGTATTTGTTGACGTTCATTACAATCACGCTAAATGCAGACTGCAGTTAGCGTGGTGTGTTCTTCTTGACGTGGTCAGCCCAAACTGTCAGTATAAGGAACTGACGTATGAAGACAGTGTTATAACGCACCTGTTTGCCGTTAGTTTTAGAAACTGATCGAGGAATAACCCAAATGAAATTCAGTAACTGCTTGATTGACAACCTAATCACGTGACACACTGATGTTCATTTGACTTTATATTAATAAAAGACACGTGTTATATACAACATCAAAGTTTTCAGATGAAGTCATTTCAGTCAAAGATGTTATATTTGGAGACTTCTTTACTGTTTGAGATACTTACTTCTTCGACCTGTCTAACGCTCACCGATAATCAATACATGGAATGTATATTCAATAATAGATCTTCTGTTTTCTATACAATATTTACATGGACATGCCGTGCAGGGGGATTTGAGTATCTCCCGAGATCAACTGCAAGTTTAAACCTACTGGATCTGAAATAATTATTCCCACATGCACTGGAATGGGGAGTGTAAGATACCTTTCTACGTTTAACATAGATTTGGAATGCTTATAATAAATGGTATCAGATATACTGCTGACATACTCTTAACATAAAGTAGGGGAACCCGAACGTTCAATTTGGATATGAAGTATAAGCGTTAACAAACGTTTCAAAGATTGACAAAAAGGTCACTGTAGATCATAATTTTGACAAATTAAAATGCATTTACCTACTTTTTTTAAGAGTATACAACGACATCATGACTGTTTGTGGTTATCAAATAACCCTTGCTAAAAAAAGATGAATACTTATCTTCACATAGCAGAGATCTTGTGTTAACTATAAATATCGAAATCCTGGTTTAAACAAAATAACCAATCAGCTTACGCCAGTATAGATAGCCCTGGTGTATACAAGTTGGAGAAGGGCTGTACTGCTCTCTCCCCAAACCATAGCCTTATCTGTTTTAATACCTATTTGCTACCGTCAATATGCAACTTAACGTGTTTTATTTAGGATTACACTTTCTCATTAAAGTATAGATTGTAGTACTTTCCTGAGTTGAGTCCCATCCGGGATTTGAACCCACTCTCTCAGGGTGAGCCATCTTATCACCAACACAGAGCATATCATTTATGTGTAACGTGCCAGAGCCTTTCGGGCATCTACCACAGTATCTAACGGTTAGGGATCGGTGGGGTAGCCTAGTGTTTAAAGCGTTCGCTCGTCACGCCGAAGACCCGGGTTCGATTCCCACATGGGTACAATGCGTGAAGCCCATTTCTGGTGTCCCCCCGCCGTGATGTTGCTTGAAAATTGCTGAAACGGCAAAAGACCATACTCACTCACTGGTAACGATTCTGATCGTATGAACATCATGCACAGAGTAGAGCCTCCCTTAGTGTGTCTCTGTTTCACATCACAGCCATATGTAATCACGGGTGAGGAATATTGACAATGATTTTTGTTCGGCGTCTCTAGCAGTCATACACCTGGCACAACATGGATTGGGGGAAATGAACATTTGCTGGATCACTAATAACAGGATACACTCACAGCCTCGTTACGCAAAGCAACATCTCTTTGTCTTGTAGAACGAAAGGAATACATACTAATCGATAATTCATGGTTATTCGAGCCCTATCGCTTTCTTTGACAAAATAACTTTTCGTGGAGGCGGTTTTGATGTTGCCATGGGAACACTGTTGGAGACTTGTTAGAATTGTTGTTTTTGTTTTCATTTCACTTGTAAGTGACATTTATTTGGTTACGTCAGCGCTTCCAGACATATTTAAAGGACTAAGGATGGGGAGCTTAACAATATACGTTTTACCCACACCAACAACACACATGTATATAATCGTTTAGAGCATGTGCAATAACGATATTTACCTTAGTATATCGTGCCCACAATTAGAATTTTTCAGAATTATCGGGTAAATATATTTACAACAAAGGTTCACTCACCAAACCCCAACTCCTACACCCCACACGATCCCCGGAATATCATATTGTCGCTCCTTACATTAAGACAGATATACGTAAGAGCAGGCTGTTGTTGATCATGGCCTCCTCTTGTACACAGACACCCACAAATAAGCACACATTTGTGCATAATGACAATAAAGGCAAGGTTGAAAGACTTCAAGCATGTGTGTGCACTGCCTTAGCTTCAGCGGCAAGCCGTGGCTATGTACTGTCCCGCTGTAACTATCTGACGTGTCCTCTGGTCGCTGTGACGCCTTCACAACATTCCACAATCAAATCGTTTCTAGGCGAAATATTTGGTGTCCTTCAAGACTGAAAACTAGAGGGCATAAAATGTGAACGTCGATCTGTAATTTGCTCCATGTTTTTTTCCAGCTGTTTCGCACATATTCCACCAAGATGACACCCTTGGCACCTCCGATCATGGATAACATAACATTTCCAGTTGAAGAGAGCATTAGCCATCAGAAGTGTTGGTGATGTCAAATGCTTACACTGTTTTCATTTCTGCTAGGACTCATACTGGAAGTAGATAATCCAAGTTTCATCCCAAATTACAAATCGTTGCAAAAACCTTTCTGGATCAGCTTCAAACAGAGCTAGATTATGACGAGATAACGAAATAATGTGCGTGGTGTGTTTTGATCAGATGTTTGAAACTTTGTAACTTTCTTCAGACAGTTTCCATGATAATGGAATGTACCCTCTGCCCGGAATGTCCTTCTGAATTCATAATATGACACTCACTCACTCTTATCGCTGAAATCACAGGCCATCCAGACCCCTTCTTTGGCCACTTTTCATGCCAAGCTTATACTCTGCTCCCCGACGTCGCTAAGTTGGTATCAAGCGTGATGTTCTCAAGATCTATCCACACATTTTATGGGTGTCTTTTGGTGTAAATCCTTTACTGAACAGGAATCTGATTTTATCCATTTTTCAAAAGATCGCTGATCCCTGCGTATTTTACTCATCACAATGAAACTGTTGACTGATTTTTGTAACATGATGTCAATATTACGGAATTCCTATGTGAAGCCAGAGGTCGTCAATCGAGTCTCGACTGTGTCAGCGACCAGTAGATGTCGTATAGTGAAAGATGGACAGTACAGCAACGATGTCGCAGCTCGTCAGAACTCGCAACGTCAATTTCTCACAGTGGACAAAGCAAGGCACATTTGACCAGCGTAATAGGTGGCCATTATTAACACTTCAGCCAAAGGAACGTGAAACTTCCATTTGTCCAACCCTATCAAACAGTCGGAGAACATAAACAGCGCAGCACCGCATGCTCCGAAACAAGCCGAGTTTGTCCGATCATACAAAAAAGTGTTCCACAGCGAGCCATCCAACTCCAAAAATTAAACCCTGGTAAACCAGCACTAACACTTTCATGACGATGGAGCTGATGCCGCTTGAGATGAACAGGTACAGACACATACTTAGCAACGTGAAAAACACGCCACATCTTGTTCTCTTGAAGTTGAACCCAGTAGCTAGACCTAGCATGTAACACACATGCGCCACGGCGAAGAAAAGCATGCCGGGAATGAACAGCGTTTCGCGCCATATTAGGCACATGTCTCCAAGACTGGAGAAGAATAAACCTACAAAGAATTCTCTGGCATATACCGTCTGTTCTGAGTCTTTGGTTGTATGCACGAAAAACGCTAACGACCATATTGGGATGGCTTTGACAATTGCCGCGTCCATCGTCTCTGGTGGGTACTGTAGGTAGGGGCGGTATAGGATGAAATACGCCCCCCACGCTTAGATAAAATGGAATGAGCCGGATGTCCATCAGAGAAGTCGCCATTCTTGCCCTGGGGAAGATAATTGTTCATTTAAAGCAACTCTGGAATTGTTATTGATCGCTTTCAGAGAAATTAAAGGGTAAACATCGAATACAGCAGAAAACTAAAACGTGATATTATTATCTTACATGGTGGTGTCGTTGCTTCTTTCAGTCACCAGAGAACATGATAATTCGATTGGAGGTGAGATGAAATTGGGTTTAACGTCGTGTTTGAGAATATTTCGCTCATATGACGACGTGCATGCGTGTGTATGTGTATGTGTATGTGCAGCTGCTTGTACTAACCCAGACTTAAGCTGGTTTTATAGTGCTAGCCCACTGAGATGCCGTGCCGCAGTGAAGCATGAATACCCCACTCAGACACATAATACTGACTCCGAGCCAACCAGTCCAACAAGTACCATATTTTAACGTCTTGTGGTATGACACGGTCGGGGATCGAACCCGCGACCTTCCGCTCTCCGGGCGGACGCTCTAACCACTACACCACGGAGGCGGTCAATTCGATTGGATGTCTAAGCAGCCTTGATTATGTTATTGTGTGTGATGTGCGTGCACGTGTGTGTGTTTGTGTGTGAAAGATTTCGAATGTGTCACGAGTAATGTCATAATTTGATTGATCCTCACATTGTCCTCCTACCTCGAATGCCAAAATGAAAACGATTGGATGGTTTGTTGTTTAACGCCGCACTCAGCAATATTCCAGCTATATGGTGGCTGTCTGTAAATAATCGAGTCAGGACCAGACAATCCAGTGATCAACAGCATGAGCATCGACCTACGCAATTGGGAACCGATGACATGTGTCAACCAAGTCAGCGAGCCTGACCACCCGATCCCGTTAGTCGCCTCTTACGACAAGCATGGGTTACTGAAGATCAATTCTAACCCGGATCTTTACAGGTCCAAAACGAAAACGTTATACATTTTTTTAAATCATCATAATCGAAAAGAGTTCTAATACACTTGATTTCGAAGATGAGCTTTTACCAGTCCCCCTCCACGGAATCCCTAACAACGGTAGAGTTTACGAATCTACGTTACAAATTCCGAGTAGGTCTTCATCTAATGGGGGAAGTGTTAACTGCGAATCTACATTACATGTTCTAGGTGGAGATCGACATTAACAGCTTCCTTTTACCTTATTACATTGTACCGTAGGTTGACATGTACAATGGCTACAGTGTCAAGAATATTGTACGTACTACACTTTAACATACACTAACAATAGTGTTACCGCTAAGGCTAGCTATCTACACACTGTACACTACCGGGCTAAAAGAAATGTATACGTGAACACTGGTTTTGACCAAACAATTACAATTTCTATGAAAACGATATGAAAACGTCCCTGAAGTGATCGCAATAGGCAACAATGATACACATATCACATCACAACAGAAAAAGAATTTCCCATTTCAGTTTCGCCATAACCAAACATTGGTGTATACGTTTTATTATAAACTCATTATGTATATCTTATACAGTTTCCACACTTAAAACAAAACAGCGTATATGCTACGCTATTACATCGCAAAACAAGTTTAACTTAGATGAGGAAATCATAAAAAGCATCACGTATTGGAACCTTAGAGGGAAATAATTCGTCAGGAATTCATAAATCGGTAAATGTCTTTCAGCTTAAAGCGTGGTCCCACAAACACTTGTGTTACTATTGACAGGATTACATAATGGTGCTATATGGCTGTATGTTTCATCCACATTATTCTTTAGGCTATGAGGGGAAAATATAAGATAGGACAGAGAGGAAGATAGACTTGTCTCTTAGATAATATTTGACGGTTTAAATTGACACATTGTCCTTCTAACAGACTGGTCTCCTTGTACTGTCAGTTTATCTAGACTTGCCTCTTTAAGAATAGGATTACTGTACATCCATGGACTTAGCATTCAGTATAACCGTGGAGCAAGGTTAAGAGGAAGATTACCTGTGTCCAGTCCTTTTTATGTGAATAAATCATTATTAAACTTCTCCCGAGAATTATTTGACATGCTCGTCCAATAGAAGAAATGCGAAAAAAACTTCACATATTTCATCCGTGTGTTTCCATTCTTAGAGTGTCCAATTTGATTTGATGTCGATGTTTGCTTTGGAATATTAATTCATAGCACTTTCGACATGTATGTTATTCAGTATTCAGCTACCGTTTTCTATGACACTTATAACCTGTTTCTAACCCTTGATAACTACAACTGCAACAAACCTTGAAAAGACCTGTGAACCAGCTTCCATGGCAATAAGCTTGTAAGAGTTGTCTCCCTTCTGAGATTTTTTTCCCCCCTCCGGTTTCTGTCCGCTCACTTGAGGCGAAGGTCAAATGTCTGCTGACCTCGGAATTAAGAACAATATATCAATCATAACATGTCTGCGGTAAGGACAAACAGCAGTTAGTGTTGCGTAATGTCATATCAAAGCGATTCTCTACACGCCAGTGCTTACAGGGAACAATACCTCAACCACACGTGGTATTGATCGACCACTGCAACCATTACCACTACCAACAGAACGCATTGTAAATTTAACGATTGGAATAAAGACTTGTAGTGCAGTACATACCCGATACCCCGCCTGTAAGTGACATCCCCATTCCTTTGATCGATCCCGGATGTGAACAGAAAACCAAAGACGAGGTTGTTTTACCAGCTCGTGGTTGCGCATGTCCCTTGCTGATCAACATAATGATGTCGCGTACACATATCATAGTAGGCGGTGTGTGTAGTTGCTGTCATAGACCGAGTCGATAGTAGGGGTGTGGGTACTGATTTCACATACACTGACACTCACTTCAATTGATAACACGACGTCTGAGTGATGCTGATATTAAGATTATCGTGACGACAATGTCAACAGGTAGCCTAGTGGTTAAAGCGTTCGCTCATCACGGCGAACACCCGGGTTTGATTCCCAGTATGAGTGCATGACGTAGAGCCCATTTCTGATATTGCTGGAATATTGATGAAAACGTAATAAAACCTCACTCACTCACTCACTTGCCCCAAACATGTCTAAATAGTAAAGGACGTCCAGTTTAAGACTTGGCTGTGTGAAAATCGATTCGTGTAATTTGACAGAGACACAGGCAGTTATTTACATATGATCATAAGTAATAATGCGTAGATGCATGACACATTTACAGAACCAGTCAAAAATAATTTATGTGAGACTGGGAAAGACAAGGTTAAGATCCACATTCAAACTATTACGTATGTAAAAGATGCTTGCTCCGATTAATCATTAAAACAGGTTTTGACAAATATGAACCATGTGTTTTTGTCTTAAAATAGTCTAAACTATGTTTTTCTTATAGAATGATAACATCGGGCCATTTAATCATAATAGCATCACTTACGTCATCTAATAAAACACAGTGCTATAGAACCTGTCCTTCGTCATCAATCTCACCTGATCTCTGAAAACATGCACTTGCTTTGTTTAACACGTCCTTTTCACATGAGCCAGTACTGAATCCATAGACACTGTCTGCCGACACAAAGTATACGCTTCCACACGTCACTGTGATGATGACAGTGTACTGTTATAGCCTATAATGGCAGGTTACCGTGTACAATGTGAATGTTTCGAAATCATCTGTAATTCTGATATGTCAGGTAGTGTATATCTGATATGTCAGCTACTGTGCATCTGATATATCAGCTACTGCTTTTTCTATTTTCCCCAGTGCAGTCTTTTGTTCAACCAATGACCATGCATGTTTTACCGCACTAGCAGTGATTACCATTTTGGAGTTTAACATGCAACAACATCCGGAAAGAAACACAGAGCTTACAAATTATTTTGTGATATTGGCGTAGAAGGATTATCAAAATGCTGTCGTAAACATTTAGCATTTGGGTATATATAATAGATCATGAATATTTTGTTACCACTGTCAAAATGGCAAATGCTATGGTGCGGGTTACATTGATTGACAACATTCATAGAGGTCAGAATCTTTACCACAATGGATTCAAGTACAGAGTCAACAGACGCAGAGCTCAGAAAACATACTGGAGATGTACAGATGCAACCTGTCCGTCATATCTGCAGACGCCCCACTAGGTGAAAAGGCGACACAGCTGATGGATTACGTTACTACCACCTGGGTAGAAGGCCCATGGACACTGCCAACTTGGAATCATTTTGAAAATGATGGACACAGAACTAACAATAATTTGGAAGGTTGGCACAACAAAATCAACAAGTATGCCATGAAGACACATCCAAATGTATTTGAGGTTGTGCGAATGCTACAAAAAGAACAGTCATCTACTGAAGTAAAAATTCAGCAGATCCAAGGACAGCAGAGAGATCCCGTCCGTAGACGTCGCTACCGAATCATCGACGCTAGGATTCGATCCTTGAAGGCCGACCTTCTTGCCGACAGACTTACTGACTTGAATTATACAGACCATGGATAGATAGATAGATATTCTTTATTTCCTCCATAAAATGAAGATTACATTTGTATGGTAAACAACAGTACAGAAAACTTTCTAATTATTAGTACTTATATTATACAGTAATATTCAATTGTGAAAGAACTGAAGGTATTTATGAGCATTGCCGGAGTATGCTCTCCCAACTGCGAACAGAGAGACTAATCATTACCATCAGTTCTGACCAAACATTATAATCCAGTACATCCTTACAGTGGTCAGGTATACCTCCGAGGAGGAATGACAGGAATACATCATCGTCTTCCATCCACATTTTAACAAAAATGTCTATGTCAAGAGTATCACAGATTCTTTCAAATAGAGAATTCCTTTCTACTAAGTTATACTGGCATGACATAAAAACATGTTTCATAATGTCGTGAGCAACTGTTCCGCATAGACATTCCTTTGATTCTATTGGAGTTGCACCAAGCCTTATAATTCTCGCAATGTCAGTGAAGTTCTGAGGTCGCTCTAAAGCGAGTATCCATAGTCTATGTTCTCGTCCTGATCTTATTGTTAAATATATCTGGAGAGAGACAACCTTGTTTGTAGTACATTTACCAACTGCATTTGATCATATGTAATTACCTTATTACTTATACACCTGCAGAAATCACTTATTTATATAAAACACATACACAAATATATTGTGTGAGCTTTATGAAATATATATACAAATATGTTATATTGTGTGACATATGATACATGCATGATACATGCATGTTGTTATATTGACTGAATAAATATATTGTCTACTATATATATCACACTCTGTTTTAATTGGTTTGTTAATTTCGAGAACACTGGGAGTGAAGTCACTCATGTAGAACATCACCTCCCTTTTCCCGGACTGTCGACAAGTAATTTGGACGGATTATTTCTTGTTGTCGACAGTCCGGGCATAAACCATACCTTACACATCCGGGTTGGTTGAGGGCGGTGGGGTAGCCTCGTGCTAAAAGCGTCCTCTTGTTCGATTCCCCACATGGGTAAAATGTGTGAAGCCCAATTCTGGTGTCCCCGCCGTGATTTTGGTGGAATATTGCTAAAAGCGGCGTAAAACCATACTCACTCACTCCGTGTTGGTTGATCGAACAGTCGCATCACACACATGAGCCCTACTGCAGACATTAATGTACAAGAGCGCCATATCATGTACATAATTATTGTAAGCTTGTTTCCCTGTTGTAAGCTTATGTGACAAACTAGTTATATCATAGACGTACGCTTAATCTTTAAAAGTATATAATTTTCATAGAAAGAAGTAGCTTCGTTCAAATTAAAAATAGGAGATCCAGTTAAATGGGGAAACTATGGGAAGTCTAGACTTGTTTCATTTACTACTTTACCACTGCAGTAAGGCTGCAAGAAAGAGAAATGATATGGTTCATGGATTGTGAGTCAAACTAGTGTCATGTCATGTCATGTCATGGAAAGATATACAAATGATTAGTCACCTGAAACTACCCCGCAAGTAGATGTATTTTGATCAATTGTGAGTGAGTGAATTAAGATTTACAATCGCATCGCCAATATTTCAGCCATATCGTGGCTAAAACAAGTTTAAATTCGCCATAGGTACATGTAAATTAAAAAGCTACGTTATTACAGTTATGAATATAAAACTAGTATGTAAATTAAAAATATTTTAACTACATATTACATTACAATATAAAAAAAACAGGCTATAGATTGCCAACAGCTGAAGGTAGATCACCATACTAGGGACCATGGGGACTTACGGTACATTTGCTTCATGCATGCACCCTGTCTGGATTTATACAGCAAGTTCAGACAATCTAGCCATAAATTAAAATAAGACAAATTCTACGATTAAAACTCTGGCAATGATAAATCTATATTGAATGCTGTGGTCTTATGTACCCTCTCCGGAGGACAATTGTTTTACGCTACTTCAATCCCCTTTGAGGGAACAGCCACTAACAATCATATTTCTTCATTGGACCAATTATACAATTAAGTTTACCTACAGTCCATAATCAAAATTTGTGAATTAGGTCAATTTCTTTTTTTAAAAATCAAGAACTAAATGAGGACTTAAACTGAAAAGATCCTTAATGATGAAATTGAGAAATATTGATCCCTTGTAATGGAATTTGATCAATGGTCTACTCATTTGTTAGTAAACATAATATCCTGCACCCATGGGGGCGGTGGGGTAGCCTAGTGGGTAAAGCGTTCGCTCGTCACGCCGAAGGCCCGGGTTCGATTCCCCACATGGGTAAAAATGTGTGAAGCCCATTTCTGGTGTCCCCCGCCGTGATATTGCTGGAATACTGCTAAAAGCGGCGTGAAATCAAACTCACTCACTCACTCCTGCACCCATGAATTCCAGTAACGGAAGGAACGTATAATACCCGTTGAGAATGATTACAGGTACAAATTCAGAAAACACCTAGATATTTCAGTTTGATTACCGCACGTGGTATATGAACATTCCGTTCTTCTTCGGCCCTGATAATGTTGCCGCTTCGTAATCTCGGGCCATAAGCAGAGAAACTAGACCTAGGAACGGCTAACAACACGTCTGTGACGTCACTATTGTTTAAACGACCCAGTAGCGTTCACGACTTGACTGTTGGTTGTCGGCACACTACAATGCTGTATTGATTCCGGGTATATTTATGTACGTTTCGAAGTGAAGACATGGGTTTTGTTTTACACTTAAGGGGAGGATGTAAAATTGCTGTTGGAAACTCGCATCGAACGATCTGAGAACGTAATACACGCCCTCGACTGCGGTGGTATTACATAATTTCAGATTGTTGAACGACAAATGATTAAATAACTCGAAATTGGGATACATGCACGAAACATAAATAAGACACGTGGTCCTGAAACCTCTGTATCCAACAGGATCTGAAATCTTACGTTTTTGGGTCGATCACGGAAAAAGTTGTTTAAGAAACTATCATGCAATATGGAGCTATGTTCACGCTTCACACCGGGGGTGGTGGTGTGGTGTGTGTGTGTGTGTGTGTGTGTGCGTGTGCGTGTGCGTGTGTGTGTGTGTGTGTGACAAATGGCTGATGTAACAGCGCCTGACTAGTTGCACCCTGAATGTGTGCTGGTGCTGTTCTACCAGCCGTTTGTCAAACAAGTTGAATATAGATATGTAGGTTATTATCGGAGATGCTTACAACTTCAACATTTCGTTTATCCATGATACACGGATCTCCAACTGCCTGTTTGACATTCAACAATGTAATTATGCTATTAATTACAACCAATTATGTATAATTAATGGTTGTACCTTCAAAACAATCCACGGAGAAAATGTCATACTGCCTCATTATACCATTACATGCAAGTATGCAGGGAAACTGGTTCGGCTCAATTCTTCTTGACATTCCTTAACGGGGATTACAGAATAACTTATTTGTACGATTGCCCGACAATATCATATATACAGGAAATGCAAGGTATATATTGATTCCTTTCGAGTTCTTGCTCATCAAACCGATTAAAGATATAATATACTTGATGTCACTTTGTGGTTTTTTTTGCACGTACATGACAATTACATTAGTTTACTTTAACGCCGCTTTGTGTATTCCGTTAATATTACAGTTCCTCGGATTGAGATGGACGGGAAGCCAAAAGTGATGCAGGTCTTAGATCCTAACCACTGGTATGATGCTCACACACCAAGGATTAGAACCAGGATGATTGAGTGAGTGAGTTTTACGCCGCTTTTAGCAATATTCCAGCAATAACCCGGCGGGGGACACCAGAAATGGGCTTCACACACTGTACCCATGTGGGGAATCGAATCCGGGTCTTCGGCGTGACAAGCGAACACTTTAACCACTAGGCTACCTCACCGCCCCTAGAACCAGGATGAATTTGGGATGCGAACCCAAGCTCAGCGGATATGAACACTAGTAAGGGACGCAAATCTGTACAGCATTACGGCACTCCGTGCTTCATCTGAAGAATGTGTGGGGTTTGCTTTCCCCCCGTTTTCAGCAGTGTTTTATTTTAAAGCAGATTGAATCAAGGATATGTTGTCGATAATTGCTAACTCATGTTTACCATGAAAACCTGTCTGTAATTTAAGTTTCTACAGAAAATAGGATGTTCTGAAACCGAATAAGGAAATAATTTGTGCCTCTAAACATGACCTTTACATTCGTATATAAATGACCCAGGCATTCACAGCCAAAGTCGGGGTCAGCAAATCAAAGCTAGTCATCTACCGTTACCCAAGACGACCAGAGGGCACTTATCGTCATAAGGTAGATATTTATCTCCAAACACCGGGTCATTGACGGGTCGCCGTGACGTGCGTACGACGCTAAAAATAGATCCAAACGAGCTGGGGAAAGAGTCGGTCGCCACAACGCTGGAAACATGTTCTCCCAAAAGTAAGTGTTGTTTTTCTTGTCCCGTGTGTTTAACTTAATATTGTGCTTGGTGGACATTCGTAGTGCTCATTGTTCATAACAGGAGGGTTTACTATGAAATTGGTTAGAAAATCAGGGCTGACAGATGTGCTGTGGGATGTTACAGCTGTTCGTTCCCACTGCCCACGTAATAGCGTGTGTATAGTATTACCACGTGGCTGTTTTATTGTCAGCTTGTAGTGCATATTTTTGAGTATATGGTGGTGGTGGTGGAATTGGGTTTAACGTCGTGCTTGAGAATATTTCGCTTGCATGCGTGTGTATGTGTATGTGCGGCTGCTTGTACTAGCTCAGACTGAGGTTGGTTTTATAGTGCTAGCCCACTGAGATACCATGCCGCAGTGAAGCATGAATACCCCACTCAGACACATTATACTGACTCCGAGCCGACCAGTCCTTGTTGTACCCATTAATGCCGAGCGCCAGGCAGGGACCAACAAGTACCATATTTTAACGTCTTTTGGTATGACACGGTCGGGGATCGAACCCGCGACCTTCCGCACTCCGGGCGGACGCTCTAACCACTACACCACGGAGGCGGTCTTGAGTATATGGCCTCCCGGATCTTCACTCATGTAGATTTTCAACAGTTTGAGTTTTATATCGCCATTGTAACAAATAGTCGCACGTGTGACCTACATTGATCACAATCCCTGGACGAATTGCCACCTGCTGTTCATTATAAAGAAACTAATCCGTGAATGACACGTCCGTTAAAGTAAGTGAGTGAGTTTGGTTTTACGCCGCTTCTAGCAATATTCCAGCAATATCAAGGCGGGGGGACACCAGAAATGTGCTTCATCAAAGGCAGTGAATGCTGTTTTACGCCGCACTTACCGATACTTCACTTAAATAACGGCGGCCATTAAATGCTCAAGAAAACCTGTGATCGAAAGCACGAGCAACGATCCACGTCAGCGGGTCACGATGACCTCAGGTCGGAGATCAGACCAACCGATCTTCATCTTAGTTGGCTGTTTTGGCAACCATATGCAGGGGCGTGGCTAGGTAACACTAAAAAGTATGCAAACATTGCAGTACGTTTTTTAAATGACGCTTGTCAAAAAGAGTCCACAAGCAGGCCATTGCAACAAGTGTCTAAAGCAAAGATATCACAAAGATACCCATGCCGCATGCATGAGATTATACACTTTAAGTGTATAGGTGGTATAATCACTGCGATCAAACCCCGATATCATCAACAACCAGTAAACAAACACAACAATATCGAACCAAATGATCGACAACTTTCAACTAAAAGTATTTACGTAGGTCCACACGACACAATTAACGCTGCTGGGTCGTATGCGTTAGTTGGTGCATATGTATTAACGAAGTCCCGTTGAGTAAAGTTAAAATGCATTTGGGATTCAATACATTGTTCATGGAATTATCTAACAACGGAACAAACTGTAGGTCGAACGGGTAATCTCGGCCGCGGGGCGTGTTATGCTTCTTTGTTGCCTGTAGTTAAATGTAAATCAGCGCACACAGAGTACATGCATTAAGCCACTTCAACGCCCCTACAGTAGACTAACAACTAGTCTCTGAAATGAACATATTTTACGGAAAAAAGTTCATAGTAAAAAAACAAAATATAATGAAAAGGAGCCCTGAGACTCTCTTCATTTTCAGAAGCTGAGGAAATTAAGACTTGCCACATTTTCTAGACTTGCGTGGGCTTTCTTGGATATATTTACTTCAGGGTCTGTACGACAGACTACCCCCTACAGCTGTAAAGCTGTATACATCCAGCTGCAGGGCATACCATAGACTAAGGCTTAGTCTCTGAATATATATAATTTTGATAGTAACAAACAAGCCCATTTATATTGAAAAGGAGCCCGAGGGAGTGAACCTGAGGAAATCTAGACTTGCTTTATTTAGAGCTTTAGTACTGCAGAGAGGCTTGGCAGTAGGGAAAATAATGTGGTTCAGGGACTGTGAGACAGACTAGGCATACCACCAAACAGGCTGGCTCTGCTCATCTATTGCATAATAACCACTTAGTACACGACAAACGCTACCGCTTAACATCGTAATCGACAGACGCAACTCAGCAATTATAGTTTAGAAAGTAGAACAGACCATTAATGTGTTTTTTACTTTATATAAACATTGACGACAGACCCTCTCCTGGTCTGCCTGTTGATGGTTCGAACCCCGCCTGCGCCATAGCGAGCGACATTTAATGATGATACTTGTTGTTATCCTGGCTGGTGCTGAGCATAAAGGGGATGGAACAAGGACTGGTTTGCGAGGAGTCTTGGACACGACATTAGACCACATTTCACCCCGCCATTAAGACAAAGCGTTGGGTCACATCCTTAAACGGAAACATAAGACAGGACCCTGATTGATGTTTCTCCATAGTGTCTGAACAGGTCATCAGCGTGGTACATAGTCGCCCAGAGGGATGACACGGTCATGACATATGTGTAATAAGTTCGTGAACTCTTTATATGACTTCAATTACTTAACGTATATCTTTGACAGCATATTTAGGTTTACTGGCATTGTCTGCATGCAGGATAATAATTTGTCTTTTCCTGTCACATATTTTTTTATCTCATCGGGTGAACTTGCAACGTGTCTTCAACGTAAAAATGCAAACTTTGCAGGCAACCTTTTACATGTATATTACGGTGATGATACATATGTTTGAGACAGTTAGTTGTCCTTAATGCTTTGACAGTATTACATTAATATCATGCACGGATTGTCAGTTTGTCTGGGGAGGAAATAAGACCATAACAGGATTCAAACCCGCGACCATAGGTTTCTGGCATGAGTGAGTGAGTGAGTTCAGTTTTACGCCGCTTTTAACAATATTCCAGCTATATCACGGCGGGGGACACCAGAAATGGGCTTCACACATTGTACCGAGGTGGGGCATCGAACACTCTAACCACTAGGCCACCCCACCGCCGTTTCTGGCATGTGTATAACGATACTGATGTTTTTGTTTTTGAGCGTGTGAGTAAGTGAGGGAGTTGGTTTAACTCTAAATATTTCTGCTACATCACGGCTTCCCAGCTTGATGTGGGACATAAAACATAACTGAGCCGAACAGATGCAAGGCTCACACCCTGATCTGCACAGCAAAGTAGGAGATGCCGGGGGCACTAATGCTCCCACATCTGGAAACCTGGAAAGGTAAATGTTTGTGTCTGAGACGGCAGGGATACGTGTGCTCATACACTATCAATAGCGAACTTTGACGTATATTCCGATTAGTTACGTAGAAACAATAGTCACAACTATATTTCATATATATATAGTCACATGCTTGATGTATACTTTCTTTTGCACAACAGTTCATCTGGATGTCAGATGAGATTTTAGAGCATGTGGCTACAAGAAATTACTGCAAGCAAGACGGAAATGTGTATTCGGATGGTATTTACCTAGTCTAGTATCAGTTAAAGTGTTTCTTATATATATATATATATATATATATATATATATATATATATATATATATATATATATATATATAGAGAGAAACAAATAGAGGGATCACAGGAAATTTCAAGTGTTCCTTTAATATTTTCGAGTTTTCATCACCAGCTTTGAATAGCGCTGTGGTAATGAAAACTGGAAAAAAATAAAGAACGTTTGATTTTCCTGTGATCACTTCCTTTTCTCTCAGTATATATATATATATATATATATATATATATATATATATGAAGAAACACTTTTAACTGATACTAGACTAGGTAAATTAATTCTAAATCCACATATTCCATCTTAACTACAATAATTTCTTTAATAGCCACATGCTCTAAAATCATCTGACATCAGATGATGGCTGTTGATGCAAAAAAGTATACGTACACCCATGTTTGATGGCTGCTACTATGACACAAACAAAGAACGATCATGTGGTGGTGATGTAGTTGATACTGAAGTTTCTTTATGGTGTCATTGGCCAGAAATATTCTTGCTTCATCGTGTAGCACAATTACGTAACTGACGTGTACATCGACGACTTTTTACAAGAGTACGTCCACTTCATATCAGACTGACTACTTCTTCGATCCTACGGGCGATGAGGTAGCATTGGTTAAAGCGTTCGCTCGTTACGCCGAAGACCGGGTTCGATTCACCACATGGGTACAATGTGTGAAGCCCATTTCTGGTGTCCGCCGCCGTGATATTGCTGGAATAATGCTTAAAGCATGCTGGAATAGTGTTAACGCACAGCCTCACTGCACAACACCAAGTGCAAAACATGGACGGATAAAATAGTTACCTTTTCAGTTGACTATATGTGTAAAAAGGCCTTAACATTACAGAACCACTCACTTTATACCAATATTTATCTCTATATATTTTTGTATTTGCAGGGAAATGTTCGCGCGGACCTCGGACCTACTGCTTGTCCCCTTCTATATCTCAGCGTCCATTTTCTTCGTCGTTTTTCAACCGCTGTTTAATGTACCTGAGGAATCCATCGTGACCGCCTTCTTCAAAGCACTTCCGGTTTTGTGTCTGGCTGGCTTCGTGTACAAGAAACACCTACACCCAAACGGAACAGACGATCACTACATACCTTCAGTGCTCATTGGTCTCTTAGTGTCGAGTTTGGGCGACGTGTTCATGCTGTTCCGCTCGTCACTTCTTCCTCTCGGAGTTTTCGTCTTCTCCATAGCGCATTTCATGTACATCGTTGGACTGAGCGGGAAACAAGACCCGGACAACCGGAAGTCCGTGTACCTCTTTGTGAACCTCCTCGTTGTAATGTTCCTAGGCTACCACGAATCAATTGACTCAAATTTCACGAAATTATCTCTTGTTGCTTATTTTGCTCTGCTTATGGCTGTTGGAGCAATGGCGTCATGTCGCTACGAGAAGGAAAGATCTGTTTCTGCTTTATGGGGAGTACTAGGCGCGGCTATGTTCGTCTTTTCAGATACTCTCATTGTTATCGATACATATTCTCTTGGCGGAGGATCCCTTGAGTGTTTGGTTATGATTCTCTACTATGGCGCTCAGTTTAGCTTGGCCATCAGCACTGTCACCGAAATCTCACCCGAAGACAAGGAAGCGAAAGAGAAATAATTAGTCATGATGATGTTTGTTTACTGATAGAACTCGCTAGATCTGTGAAATTTCTCATTTGTTCATTTGAAACATTCAAGATTAAGGAATAAAATACATCTCGATTCTGAACCATTGTCGTTGTACTCATATGATGGGGAAAAAGTCAGCCCAAAGTCAATTCAAGTCTTTTGATGTGTTTGATTATATATATTCTAATTTTAATTTTGATTGAGTAGGCGGATTGGTTTGTTATTTAACGCCGCAGTCGGCAATATTCCAGCTATATGGCGGCTGTGTAGGCGGAAGCATCTTGGACCCCATTTTATGTATAACACATGTAAGGGGGGATATTCTTTAAGGCTTCAAAAGTTCTTTACAAACAGTTTACATTTGTTTTAAATCACGAAGACCTATAAATTATTAAATCTCTCGACAGCCAAAAAATAATACCCGAACAGTCCATTGAAGGATTGTTCGTGTTCCGAAGTACCATGCTTCCTCGAGTCAGAATGAATTAATATTTTCCCGGTGAAATATTATTGAATTGCCCGATGAAAAAATTACGAGAACGTAGTCGAAAACATGAAATGGGTGTAACCTTGCTACGAAAAATGTTGTTTATTTGTTAAAACAAGTTGATGTTCACTTTTCTGGAAATGTGGCCATTTTGGCTTGTCACTTTAAATATGTGTTGAATTGATTTGTACCATGCATCCGAGGTGCAATAATGACAATATTTTTTTACGAGATCAGAGTTGATAAGCACTTTATGTATGGCAAGGAGAATATATGTCATTAAAATCCGAAGATAAAAAATATAACACTACTATAACGCAGAGAGAATTAATAAATTTTCCTATTTACGATCCAACAGGTCATCGTTTCGTACCGATCGTAACTTAAAAAGGTTAACTTCAGTTAGGGTTGTTGTGCCTACGGTAAATTGTTCGATATCGATAAGCTTAGTGCTAGGTGTGTTTTGTGAATTGGGCCCTGGGCCCGTTTAAGAATGCTATCGTATCGTTACGACTGTCGTAAGTCTATGTTACAGTACAGGAGATACGACAGTCGTAGCTCTACGATAGCTTTGTGAAACGGGGCCCTGGGGTGAAAATCACCACTGTGACAGTTCAGTTGGTTGTCACAAGAAAAGGTTTCAAACAGTGGTTAGTTATTGCATAACGATATCTTGATTTGACATGAGGGATATTCAATTTGAAACCTCATAAAACTAACAGTTATTAAAAACACCCTTGCTTACCGTTATGTTATAACACCAAGATATGTTTAACTGATTGTTCGTATGTTGTTAAACGTCAGACTCAATATAATTCCAGCTTTATGATGGTGACGTGTTCATCCGACCAGACAATCCAACATTGTTGTTGTGTTGTTGTTTAACGCCACGCTCAGCAATGTTACAGCTTTAACTAATCGAGTCTGGGCCAGGCAATCCAGTGACCAACAGCATGAGCATAGATCTCTGCAACTGGGATACGATGACATGTGTCAACCAAGTCAGCGAGCCCGACCACCCGATCCCGTTAGTCGCCTCGTACGACAAGCATGGGTTACTGAAGACCCGAATCTTCAGGCTTCTTGAGAACAAGTATCCACGCGGCCAAGTTACAATTATACGTAATCAACCAAGACACCGCCGATGACCACCGGATAAATTAGATCGCCTCATACAGCCAGCATAGGCGTCTATGAACCTGTGTATCTGGAATCCCTATGGAGTTCTGATGGAGGAATGCTACCTTTACACTGAAAGAACTCCCAGACACGAGATTTATATTTCCATCGAGAAGAGGTCAAACCTGCACGTTGTGTACGCTATGTCCGCTATTTCTTGTCTAGACGTTATAAATTGGACCCTGCGGACGTGAATCACCCTATTCGTGTCCACATGCTGAGATTGCAATGTTGCCATTATTGATGGAGACGTCCTCGTCAGTGCCTTGGCGTCAACTACGACTGCTCCAAGCGCCACTGAGCCGTCTATTTTGACGTGAGATCATAGCTTCGTTGAGTGGTACATGTCTAATTCTTCAAAAAATAGCTGGATCACACGTATGTTGTTATTCTACAAAACATTTCTGCGAATTTTCACTTCCTGAGTGAGAGAGTGAGTGAGTTTAGGTTTACGCCGCACTCAGCAATATTCCAGCTATATGGCGGCGGTCTGTAAATAATCGAGTCTGGACCAGACAATCCAGTGATCAACAGCATGAACATCGACCTACGCAGCGGGGAACGTGTTGACAATCACGTTACACGCCTCTTACGACAAGCATGGGTTACTAAAACTCAATATTCACGGGTCTTCTCTCCTAAATATCCTTCAAGATGTGATAATGTACATGTATGTTGTGTTTCACCCCACTCACTTATATTCCAACTATATGGCCATAGCCTGTTTATCAGCGAGTGGTTTTATATTGTGAGCAGCGATCCACGATACCCCAGATAGCAATGTCCGTTGGGCCAATGTTAGACCAACATTGGCCATCATTAAAACCTACGTTGGCCAATGTTGGCCCAACGAACATTGCTATCAGGGTTCTTTCTCAATGTATTTGTGCAATCCTATCTCTTGTTTGTTTTAGATCACGTGGTGAACATTACAAATACGACCTTGACTTATATATGAACACTGTTATATAATTTTGAATATGTAAAATTTACAATATATAGCTGTTAATGTGTTCGCATATAAAGTGATCGCATATAAAACAAACAGCTTTTATTTTGTTTTGAGAAGTGGAGTACATTTACGAACTGTAATGAAACTCCTATTCCCATTAGCTCGGCATAAGATTCGAACAACTGACTTAGGAGTGCAAGGGGACGTAATTCCTAACAGCAGGTTTGTTTACTATTACAATTTTATGTATAGAAGGCATTCTTGTTTATATTTGTTGTTATGATGTTTAGTACATGGTTAAAATGAATATATAGTAGTATTTTCGTCATTAGACAAGGTAAGGGTTGTTACAGCGATCTATTGTTCAGTCTAGATGGGGCGGTGGGATAGCCTAGTGGTTAAAGCGTTCTCTCGTCATGCCGAAGACCCGGGTTCGATTCCCCACATGGGTACAATGTGTGAAGCCCATTTCTGGTGTTCCCCGCCGTGATATTGCTGAAATATTGCTAAAAGCGGCGTGAAACCATACGCACTCACTCACTCACTTCTGTCTAGATATTCATCTTGCTTGTTTGTTGTTTAATGCCGCTCTCAGCAATATTCCAGCTATATGGCGACAGTCTGTAAACCAGACAATCCAGTGATCAACATCATTAGCATCGACTAAATATTGACAAGAAAAGGCAGTGTAACATCTAAGGGCAGTGAAATATACACCTCACGTCATGGGAACGCTTGTAAAACATAACCCTTTTTCCCAAATTCAAAAGCAGACTTGGTCACCTTAACTACAAAGATCCTGTGATATAATTACATTGGTTCAGACTCAACATTTGTATAGACCATCTTACCCGAAGTCACCAAGGAATATGACTAGAGGCAGATGCTCTTGTATTTGAGTGAGTGAGTTTAACAATATTCCAGCAATATCACGCCGGGGGACACCAGAAAATGGTTTCACACATTGTACCCATGTGGCGTGACTAACGAACACTTTAACCACTAGGCTACCCAACCTCCCCTCTTGCATTCGGCGACAGTGGGTTTGGTTTATCGCTGCTTTCTATGTAATTACACGGACAGCACGACATGTCAGCTCTTCACATGGTGCTGACGAGACTACACGAGACCATACGAGACTACAACAGAATCGATGCCAATCACTGATTCTAATTCACCATCCCTTCTGGCGCGCACAACCTGCATAGTTCTACTATTTAACCCATGGTTCTGATATATCAAAACGCCATACTTTGTATTGAAATAGAAAATATACATATGGATTTGACCAAAATTTACCTTGGCTGAAAACAGTGGCCGAGATACTCCACAACCATGACACATCATCGTCCAGTGACCGTTCTGGTTTGTTTCATGTTTGGCAACCATCTAACTTTGACATTTGACAAACTGTTTAAGTTAATAGTGTCTCCCAGTTATCATTAATGGAGTCATTTAGACTGTTCCCGGTGAAAAACATCATCCGGAGTTCAACATCTCTTTCTTGGTGTCCTTAGTGTTCTCAGTTAAAGGAACTCAATCTGTGAGTGAGTGAGTGAGATAATATTTAACGTCACATCGGCAATATCTCAGCCATATCCGAACGAGAACATATTTGACATTGAAAAAGAATATATGTATATGATAAAAACCTGTCTACGAAGGACAGTAAAAGAACTAGAATATCACAATTACATCTAAAACTAGTGTGGAAAGTTAAAACTATTAGCACTATTTGGACAATACAATATAAAAACTGGCTATAGATCGCCAACAACTGAAGGTAGATCACTAAATTAGGGACCATGGGGACTTACACTACTTTTGCTACCTGCATGGACCCCAGCTGGATGAACTCAATCTGTAATAAATGGAAGACATGCATTTCAAAAAGTGCCCAGAAAGTTACTCACATGTCTTTAATTTTGTCAGGTGTCATCAGACAAAACAACGATTTTCAATGAACATAAGACACCTTAACTAAAACCAGAGACCACTAAATTATTAAGTGTGAACTTTTATTAACATGTAACTATTGATACCAACACTGATAATATCAGGTTATCGCCCGTCACAAACACACACAAAGGCCAGTAAAGCATTCACACTACCGTACACAGGAACATATGCTACCGACGGGAATAGAGAATTGCCTTGTACACCGTTTGGGTCAATCATGCGTCAAATCTAGAAACGCCTTTAATGTTGAAATCCTTGAGAAATATGTACATCGATCGTACTTGAAAATGTAAAATGTGGACGCCAAGTGTTGTATCTGCTCAGATAAAAGATATTTCACTCGGTAATGTTACCAATATATTATAAATTCAGCATCTATCGTAAGCGTGGCACATGTATTCAATTTTTAGTTAATTGTGGTGATTGTTGTGTCTTTCTCTCGGGCTCTTGCGTAGATCGATGCTCATGCTGTTGATCACTGGTTTGTCTGCTCCAGACTCGATTATTTACAGACCGCCGCCAT